TCTAACCGACCATCTTTATTCAAATCGAATTTTAATGTTTCGAATAATTTCATTTGAATATTCTAAAATTTGTGAAAATTATTCATTTCTTTTCATATTTGAACGCATTGTTCTTACTTCCGTCTTGAATATTGCTTGATCTCCACATCGTTTAAAATTTGTTGAAAATATATACTTGTCGTAAAGCAGATCAATCGAATACTCTCTTCCACCACGATGAGCACCTATACCCAGGTCAACAAATCCGACGTTGGATCCGATGAGAACCGATCGGATCCGACCATCCGACGAAATCCGATAGAATTCCTGGTGACGGAATTGCATCGGATTCTGACTGGAAAAATCCAGTCATTTGTTGCAAATTTTATGAGCGTTACTTTTAGCTAGGTTCTATGATGACCCTTAGAAAATCCAGAAAATCCGTGTTTCGGATCCGAGTATGGGATTTGTCCACCTGGGTAGCAAGAACGTCGCGATCAATCTTTCAAAAAGAAGGTCGAAAACATTTGGTGAAAATTATTCATCTTTGTCTTACGGATGATTCAATACTGCGAAAGTTCTCTCCCATTAAATACGTGTACAAGAATCTCGCTGCCAATTGAAATTTCTCTTGAGATTGATGTGACGTCATGTTCAGTAAATCTGAGAATGAAACGATATTTTAATGCACATGAGTTGTATGAAAAAATTGTCTAGTACGGAAAAGATGACAAAGGAGATATGAGGCAAACTATGGACTTATCCATTCTGACGTCATTTTCTTTTTGTTTAAGTCACTACACGCTATGTGTCGATGGACTGAAGTGTAGTGTCCTGCGGGAACGATTTTTTCCCTATTTTCCCATTCCCTATTCCCATTCCCTAGAGAATGGGAATTCCCATTTAGGTTTAGAGAATGCGAACAAGGGAATGGGAACAATGGGAATGGGAACGATACTAAACAACAAGTAACGCTCATCCTTTGGATTCGCTGACCCTTTTCTGAAAGACTTTTTCCGAATGCTGAACACATATTCAGATCAGTGTGAAGCTAGCACGAAGGAGCTAGCACGAACAAACGATTTGTTAGCTGAAAACTTTTTTACGAAGTATGTCCCGTCCATGAAAACTACGCCAATCGACTGAGAATTTAATTCTGCATCGAATGATGATACTTTTATTCACCGGACAAACTTTGGAAAAAAATTTACCTATATCTATGTTTGCTTCATTTAGGTCTATTTATAATCCAAATAGGATTTTTCCAAAGTTTGTCCGGTGAATAAAAGTATCATCATTCGATGCCGAATTAAATTCTGAGTCGATTGGCGTAGTTTTCATGGACGGAACATACTCGTAAAAAAGTTTTCAGCTAACAAATCGTTTGTTCGTGCTAGCTCCTTCGTGCTAGCTTCACACTGATCACATTCAGAGACTTTGAAAGAGAAAAAACACACTGCGATTGCTACTAGTGCTCAACTTACCCATGACACTATGTCACACACTAGAACGAATAGGATGCAAAAGTCTTTTTAGGAATCAGACCGATTAGCCATTTGTCAGTGGATAATTCTCCAGCACTAACTATGTAGACTGAAAAAGTCATCGCTCAACGGCTAGTCAGACGGCCATTCACGGCCAACCATTGACCTTTGTCATCTGTTTTTCTATTTTCACATCACGCGCATGGAAAATTTCATAAATGCTTTACTAAGTCACTCATAGACGGACGATATACAGTAGACTACTTGAAAAGTTTGAACATTCGCTTGTGTCTTCACGCGATAAACCGATTCTGTTCTCTCCTGTCAACGAAATGATACCTTGTCGAATATTTTCATTGAGAAATATCCATTCGTCAAATCCCTTTCACAACTATCGGAGGCCTGGCAAGGATATTCTAAGCATACACTTTNTGGATAATTCTCCAGCACTAACTATATTGACTCAAAAATTCATCGCTCAACGGCTAGTCAGTCTCCCACTCACGGCCAACCATTGAGCTTTGTCATCTGTTTTTCTATTTTCACATCACGCGCATGGAAATTTTCATAAATGCTTTACTAAGTCACTCATAGACGGATGATATACAGTAGACTACATGAAAAGTTTGAACATTCGCCTGTGTCTTCCGGCGATAAACCGATTCCTTTCTCTCCTGTCAACGAAATGATATCTTGTTGAATATTTTCATTGAGGAATATCCATTCGTCAAATCCCTTTCACAACTATCGGAAGCCTGGCAAGAATATTCTAAGTTTACACTTTGGGATTAATCTAACATTTAAACGCCTAGTCGTTCGTCGGCCTCCCTTCGGTCGGCCACTCACGGCTAGCCGTTGACGCACATGATCAGTTTTCATAGTTTTTTCATTAAAAGAAGTAGCTCGTTGATACTGAGTCGATCTGTGATCGAAGTTATCAAAACCTTTCGTGACTGTGTAATTTACAGTACATATTCCATTGCTCTGTTCAATTTGAAGCGCTGATAATGTGCAATCCTATCCTCGAAACTCGAAAACACATCAATTATGGTCGTTCAAAAACCATTGACTTTAGTTGAGACACTGATAAATCTCATCTTTCAAGTAATTTCCAAATCAAACGTCTAGTCGTTCGTCGACCTCCCTCCGGTCAGTCACTCACGGCTAGCCGTTGCCATGCTGTCTCTGTTATTCCTTTCTCCTTTGATCAACTTCCAAACTGAACGATTGGGTTTTCTTTTATTGTCGCTTCGACAGTCATGATCTTCCATTCATTCGACTACCAAAAGAAACTCGATAAGAAAGTCTTATTCTATAATTTGCTTCGAAACGAACATCTTTCATAGCGCTGTATGTGTTCAGAATACTGTTTGTATAGTCCACGCGTCTGTAGTTACTAAGATGGAATTCCACCGACGGGTATATTGCTTTGCGAACTACTTCTACGAAATTCCCATGAAAGGACATAATGTATGTAGCCTACAAAGCAAAGATGATACTAAGCTCATATCACTTTTTCGGATTTCTTGAATTAGAAACATCACTATGCACAATGCATTAGATATTTTCGTGTAAGTTCTTGAGCTACTATCTTTGTACACATGACGTCCGTGAATAGCGTTCAGCTCACCATCTTCTACAAAAGATTCTAGAACAGATAAAGAAAAATATCTCCTTTGTAAAGAGAAAGGAACAAGCCCAGGCTCAACGAATAAAACGAAATTCACCCTCAAATTCGAATTTCCCGACGTCAGAAATCCTTCGGTCTACTCTGACAATGGATGTTAATAAGTCGTGGCTAGTTAATGAAAAACTAATAATTAATTAATCAACGCTAACCTGGGATTCAAGTTCCTCGACCTCGATTACCCTAGGGGTAATCATTTTCTAACAACTATCGATCAATTTCATTGATTTCAGAAATGCTGANTGGTCAAAGCATACTCAAGTATAGGGTGAAATAGACGTTCAATCCGATAGAAATACTTTTGAGCACTTTAAAGGTCTTTTTCTGGAAAACCACGCTGAAAAATTAAAGTCTACATCATTGACCGAGATTGTTCATCTCGTAATGCTTTCGTGAAAAAGAGGAGCCTTAGAAAAGTTGTCAAACGGTCTGTTTTCGACCAGAAAAAGATACTTTCAAATAAGCAGCAACACGTCCGTTTAATTGACACGAAACTATCTATTGAGTGATGTGAGAATAAAAGAACAAAATGTCAGTACAACTGTGATTTCCGTGCATCTTATTGACTCTCATATCTGCATCTATCTTTATATTGACCTCAATTTACAATTTATTGATCGTTGGATCAACATTGAAAACAAATAGGACTGAATAGAAATTCTTTTCTTAGAAGATCAAAGGCAGCTTTTAGCGGTTTCTATGAATAATCCCATGCAAGCGATTATTTCTCTTTCCAGCCTGTTCTTCTGATAGAAGAACTGTTTATATTTAAAATAGAAAACAATATAATTATTTCTACGCCAATTTGCGAGCCAATTATAAGCTCATTTTTAAAGCTTTGTTATTTTTCTGTAGATCAGTTAGAGCATTTTTGCTTTGAGGTCCTATTTGATTATTGTATAGATTGAGTTCTTCTAATGTCTGTATAACATAAGAAGTAATTGATATAAAATACGAGAAAAAATATTCATCTCACCGTGTTCTGTTGTAATGAATCACTGAGACATTGTGCACCTTTGTCTCCAATTTGATTGCCGAATAGAAGGAGTTTAGTGAGTGTCTATACCAAATATGGATATAATTAAATGGAGGAGAACGAGGTAGACACTATTTGCCTCACTGTATTCTGTCGTAATACATCACTAATATATTGTGCACCCTTGTCTCCAATTTGATTGCCTCCCAAATCGAGTTCAATAAGTGTCTGTATCAAATATGAGATAGTAGAAAAAGATAGAGAAAGAAGAAGTTGGCATCTGTCTCAATATATTCGATCTTAGTGCATTAGTCAGATGTTCTATACCATCATCTGTGATTTGATTGTATTCAATGGTAAGTTTCTCAAGTGTCTGAATGATGATACAAAACGTAGTTGGCATAGAGTTGAAGAAGATATCTGTCTGACCGTGTTTTGTCGTAATACATCACTGAGATATTGTACACCTTTGTCTCCGATTTTATTGTTGGGAAGAAACAGTAAAGAAAGTGTCTATGACAAATAAAAAACAATTGAGTGAAGAAGAAAGGAGAAGACACAATCTGTCTTACTGTATTCTGTCGTAATACACTACTAAGATATTGCATACCTTCAGCTCCTATTTCGTTGTTGGAGAGACTGAGTGTTGTGAGTGCCTATATTATAAATATGAACCATCTGAATAATCGAAAGAAAAACAGACGATACGATTTGTTTCGTTGCGTTCTATTCTGACGTATATCATCTCATGTAAATCTTTTGTAATCAATGTTATTTCTAAATACTATTTTCGGAAAAAATCTCTTCTTTGTAAGTATGAGATATTTAGAAAAGAAGCATCTGCCAAAGTCAATTTTTTCAGTTCTGAATTTGAAATTAACAAGATGAAACTTTTCTCTATGAACGAAATAAGTTGATCAAACGCTCTTTATATGAATCTTGTTCCGACATACACTAGAACATAAGAGAAGGGTTTATTCGCTTGCTTAGATTGAAAGTTTCACAGACGAATGAACGATCATAAGACTGATGTTATTCACTCAACTGTCAGATTTAACTAAAGATAATAAAGGGTTAAATGCACAGTTCTGTTAACGTATCGAAAAGATATTTAATTGTTTAATAATTACATAAGACTGAATTGGACTAACCTTTTTCTTATTTATAATATAATCGGCTATTAGCTTCATATCTTTGTCGATTAATTCCATACAAGTTAGATACAATTCATATTCATCTCTGTGCCTCGCAAGAAATCTTTCGAGCTTTGATAATTTTTTGCTTGTTGTAGTTGCAATATTTTGTAGTGGAGAAATGTCTTCTTGTTCTGCAAGAATTGAAACTGAAAGCAAAAAAGAAGATTATTCATGAGATAGTCGATTTAAAAAAAAGTTTTGATTTCAGATAAAGAAACCTTTAGAATAGAAATATTGGTTTACTGGAAAATCGACAATAGGAATTTGGACAATCTTGCAGGTTTGAAAAACTGCATAGGCTTTCCTAGGAGTATCTCAGTACGAATTTTCATGTAGTATCCTACTGCCCAGACCTATCCACACCCTCACCCTAAATCTATCGGGAAAATTTTGAAAAAGATCGAAAAGTTTCGGTGTTTTTTGCGTATAGAAGAACAATACTGGATTTTCAATGAAAACGAAATAATTAGTGAAATGAAATCATGCTTTTTTTATTTACCCGTTGTAGTTGAAGTGTCCGGTGGAGAAATCATTGACGGTGGTTGCAACAGTGGAAATGGTGGGATAGTTTCTTGAAGTTGAATTATATGAAGATCATTTTGATCAAGACAACTGACTACTTTGAATTGAGTAGCAGGAAGAAGCAAAACTTCGTCTTCAAGTGAATAGTAAGAATGTTTTCGAATATCTCTGGCTGATTGACATTCTATATTAAAAATTGTTCTTGGACAAGTTTTACCCAAAAAAAGTTCGGATTTTAAAACACCAATCGATGTGGTACATGAGGAAAATGCCCACCAAACAATTGTCTCGTCTTTGATGTAATTCTCAGTCATAGTTGACTTAACTCCTCGAAATACCGTTCGTTGAAGTGGCGGAAGTCGAAAAAGTGCACTGAGAAAAAGTTTTAAATAAAGATACCATGGTTTAAGAGCTTCTCGATCTTTTGATCGTAATGTAGTGTTGAGAACGAAATATAGACATTTATCGAGTGGTTTCCATCCCATAGTCTAAAGCATGATAGAAGCTGATTCATCCTCTGATAAACCGTCATCAGGTTTTTTACATCTTTGTTTGGCAACATAGACATATCTCTGAACAGATGGTAGAATGACAACAAGACTCTCCACCGCTTCTTCGATTGAAACAAGAGGCATATTTTCATAACCATCAAGAGGCGCCAGGAATTCCAATGGTTCTTTTTCAACATCTGTGATACGTAAAATATGTTGTGCCATTGCATTTTCTCCCTCGTCTGTGGCCATCTTTCGTCAATGTTCGAATACTTTATCTGGAAAATATCAATAAGACAAAGAATATGTTAATGTGCTTATCGGACAATTTCGGATTCGTGATGAAGTTTGCTCATTTTGTTTTGGGCAATGATCATCACTTTGAAAGGAAAATTTGCAGAGACGAGCGATGGTTTAAGTTAGCTGAAATATACGTTTGAAAGATACATTGGAAAAGTCCCTAGTGTCTAGTACCGAAAATTGTACTTTTGATGGGTTTTCATTTTGTATAAAATTCTCTATATATATGTGTGAGCTGTCCGAACGATCAACACATCCCCCACCAAAGAAAGACAGAAACTCGCTGAGAATAACCATCTATTCAAGTAGAAAAGGGGTTATATATATCCACGCATACTCTCTCTCTCTCCAGAACGAAAAACAAAAGCAGAAAAATGTTATGGCAGACAACATTCTTCCACACATACAGAACAGAAGAGAGAGAAGAGTAGTGATAATGATATGATTGCTAACAATATCCTATCTAAAATAGTAACAATACTGTCCTGACAAAATCCTATTTCTGATCTAGTGGATTTGAATATTTTCGTGATATTAAGAATCGTTTTAGGTTTGGTTGTAGATATACTGATAATTGAATGACTCCAGCGTTTAAACTGCGCAGAAAAATATTTTTTCGTCTGCAAATACCAATCGCGCGTACATAGAAAAACTCTCATATGCAAATTTACTTGCGTTCGATTACATCGTCTGTCGTTGTTTTTCAAAAACGAAGCAAAATATAAAAGTGAATTAACATATTCTCCTTTTGTAGGCTTATTAGTAAAGTTAAATATTTACATTGAAATATTGTATGAAAGAAACACGCGAGAGAGTTACTTTTCTTGCAGTCATTCATATTTTTCTTCTTCGAGATAAAAAGAAACAACTTATAGTAGGATGTCTGCAGCAGTAAAGTACAAAACAGATGAATGTATATTTGAACAAAAGATACCAATTGGTTATTGAAACTTTGTAACACGTATAAGTGACGATTCTCATGTAAGTATCTCATATTTAACATAAGATAGTTTAAATATATGTCACGTTCTCACTTCAAATCAAATCGATTTATTTCAAATGATACAATTCATTATGGAATAGTTATTTTACAACAATAAAAAACAGGTCTATAATTTTTGTCTGTGTTTTTCAAAATATTCGTCGATAACAGATTTGTGCATGAGGAAAATATTCCTGTAAACAACTTGATCGTTTTGTATCACCATATAAAACCAATTTATTTATTTTAGCACAATTAATTCGTGTTTCATCTCTTGTGAAATGACGCGTCACTCGTTCTAAAGACGTATACTTGACAAAAAGAGTCGTACCTTGAAAACAAGCTCTTGAATGAAGTAGAAATTGTTCTATATAATCATCATGAACATCAACGATTATCAATTGATTAAGAAAAGGATAATCGATAACAGATAAATTTTCACTACCATCAATTGGTCCATGAAACTGTCTAAAATGCTGTGCTTTATCATTTTTAACAGCTAATCTTTCCATGTGTGGAAATGATTTTCGAATTTCGTTAAAAAATTCATGTTCAAATGGGCGTTCGTCAAACAATGACACAAGACGGACATTAATGAATAATCCACCAAGAAAATTGTTCGTAATAACACCACAATATTGCGTCAAAGGTGGATAAGAATAACAAAGACATCGAGCTTGGTTTGCTTCCGGAAAATAATCGACACAAGAAATAACTTTAGTATTTGAAAAGTCAACAAACGTACGTTGAATATCTTCCGCTGACGGAAGATCGATCTGTTTGGGAGTAATAATAAATGAATCAATAGAAAATGAAAATCGATTTAATTGTGACATATGATCAATAATATCTTTCTTCAACTTGTTTCCATCAATATATGTGCTGCCTTGCCAGACCGTAAGACATAAAGAGAGTTCCTCCAGATTAAACATTCTACGCAAAAGCGGCAAAATTCGAATATCATAATCGCACGTAACAAGATTGCAGGAGATAGAGAAACGTTTTAGATTCGGCAAATCATCCTGAAAAAAAAACAAATTCTCTTTCAGCATTCGAAAACAAGATTTTTTACACAACTAATTCGACTTTGAATTTCATGTGACGAATGAAGGTTGGTTAAATCGACACAAAGCGTATGCAGACGACTAAAACGACCATCCAGAACACGAAGACAGTCATCAAAACATTGAACATTGAGAGTCAATTGTCGAAGAGTTGTAGAACGAAAGTCAGGAAGTAGTAAATCAGCAAAATCTAATCGTGCACGATTTGAATACGATGATTCATGTAGTGTTAAGGTAGTCAAACGTGGAAACACTACGAAGATAGAATTAAATATGTTCGCAATTGACTCCAACCTTCCACAGTCTCCATCATAACCATCAATTGAAAGAGTTAGTGTTGTTATTTGATTCTTGAGATAAGAAAGTGTTTCATCTAAAGACAAATAATTATAATACTAGTAGAAGGAAAGAAACTATGCAACAAAAACGGACTCATGAAAAGCTGATTTGAATTAATCATCTCTATCAATGATCAAGCTCAACTCAAATTACTTACTGACAGAAAGATAATGAATTGACTTTTCAGTAATATTGTAGAGCGCAAGACTGTTTAAAATTGAATAATCTGCAGCACGTAAAACTTGTCTCATGGATGACGTTTCAAGATCCAACCGTTTAACTTTATCATGGATATCAGGTAAGATTTGTAAACAGTATCGATTAAGTATCACATCGCAATTTAATAGGCCAATGAAATCATATGGCATCCATGTAACAAAGCTCAGACGACTTGTAAAAAGTGAATCATGAACAATTCTATCGAATCGTAGATTGATACCTTCGAAAGAATAATGTACATCGAAATTGTTCAGATTTCGACAGATCATCATAAGAATTTCATCCGGTAAATCACTAAGTCTGGTACACGAATATTCCATATTCATTTTCGGCGACGTATTGTTACCGTTCTTTCTTCTATAAGAAGATCATACATATAATCCTATATTTATCCATTTTACGTACTCGACGTTCACATTGACGACACAAATAACAATGCATTTTCTAGTCTAGACTGAAAAAGGACAGATTAAAATTGAACTGACCAATACGATTGGTGGTGTCAAACAAATACACCAATCAATATAACTGATTCAACTTATAGCTTATTCATTTTTCTCTTTTTCTTTGCTGTTGCAATCTAAATGAAACTGCTAAAAAATTCTTAGCATTTCTATGCGAAATAACAAAACAAAAAGTTGGAGAACAGCGAATTGAACACAAAGAGGATACTTCATTTTCCAAGCATCTACTGAATGATAATAGAAAGATCATGTTTATGTTCAGTGATAGAGTATTTAAGAAAATAGTTTTAGACATATTCTATTAAGTGGAATAGTTTAGATTAGTGGGATGCCATATCCGTAGATCGGTACGCTACCGATATGGAAAGCTCGTGATAAAAGTCGTGTAATTTGAGCGAATAAGGTGAGTACAAGTTTATTCTCGTTCATTTCTTCATGCTTGATGGAAAGAGAAAAATTTAACTAATCTGATCTATTGGATTAATTCATCTCCATTATTTCAAGAGAACAAACTAATCAGCGACTTTAGTATTAGAAATATGGTGCGAAGAATGGAATCTCAAGTGCGTTTGATTCACTTGTAAAAGGGGGAATATTCAGAATCGATATTATGGTGTACATTCCATTTGTCACTGGAATGAGTTCGACTAGTTAAATCGTGTTCACTCATATCAATAAATACATATATAAAATCATCATCGATATATTTATTTTGATACTCTCGAGATGTTCGCCTTATATAAATCAATTCCAATCTGGTTCCGGCTCTGCTCTGTACCTCTTCACTTTCTTTCCTATTAGTTGTCTTTTAAATATATTTTACAGTTAAAGTTTGTAAGTTTGGTCTAGGCGTTTGTTGTGAATAGAAGAAAGTCATAAACAAATTGCATATGGCATATGCGTTCATACTTTGTGCTATACTGACTGGCGTCTATTCGTTTATCACAGTGTTCAGGTTTTGAACAAAAGAAAAGTTGGGACTTCCGAGTGAATAGACTGTTGGAACTCACGCTACGTATGGGTGTCATGTAGTGAATTAACGGATGAATATGCAGTATAGTACGATAATAATACATTTTCAGCATGCAAATAAATATTTTCGTACTTTCAATTCTCTCATTAGGAGAATTGGTCAAGGGGAAAAGGCAGACTTTTGGATTTGAAGTAACTTTAAGCTGCTTGGAGCTACTTTTCTACTTCAAGTCTACCTTTTCCCCTTGGAATTAACACTATAATTCTCCCATACTGGATTTTTTTATAAGCATCATTGCCCGTCTATATATATCAAATTTACATCTCGCATATACATGTTCGTTATACCATGTAACAACAATAACATAGATGTCATAATTTGTTTTTATCTAAATATGTGTTCGGCAGTATGTACTGATGCTTAAACTATTCAATCAAATCAAAGGATATTAGTGATCATCTTCGATCTCACTAAGATCTCAATACAGATCAGATATTCACACACTTGGTACACGCACTAAAAGTAATGTGAACGTTGTGCAATAACGTGTCATTGCACCATGTTGGTATACGATTGTGACATTCCTTTTGACGATGGCACTCATGACTTTTTAACACTATATAAACTCTCATTTTGCAGCTAGAGTTCATAGAATACTTCGTCAAGTTCCTTATCTCACAATATGGTTGCGATCACTCGAGCCACTCTAACACGTCGACTACAATCGTCAAACGTAAAAACTACTAAAACACGTGCTGCAAACGGCAAAGTTACTAAACAAAAGAAAAGAACAGCTAAACAACGAACAGCTCCCTCATCATCATCTAATACTACTACTGTTAGTAGCAATACTGCAACTATTTCTGCTCCACTACAAGCATACAATGATGTCAAAGGCAAAAGTGACATTACCGATGCTCTGGCATACGATTGTCACTGGAATCCAGTTGGAAGAGAATATGATCTTGGAAGAGACGGTGCATTCATGGGATTTAGTATTCTGATCGGACAGTTGTATTCAGGTATCCCCCATACTGATATGCATAGGTCAATTGATGCACTGAAAGTGAAAGGATTTCATGTGAAACACGTCACAACTGAAGATGAGTGTATCAAAGAACTTGATTCAAATCAATATCAAGTTGTATGGATCATAAGCGATACGAAGATCGGAAATCGCGACATTATTTCGTCGCTAACAACTTTTCAGTCAAATGGTGGTGCAATATTTCTGTTTGCGGATAATACACCATATGTTTCTCATGCAAATGAATTTCTTGGTAAAACATTTGGTGTGACTGTCGAAGGAGATTACCATGGTGCAACAACATTGACTTATGCAGAGAATGGTCATCAACAAAAAGGACACTTTGGTCAACATGAGATCTTTACTGGTGTGAAAAACTTATATGAAGGTGTCACCATCTGTCATCCGGTGTATTCGAGCGAAGGGAGTCGTAAGACATTTGTTCCGATTGCAACAGCTAGTGATGGAAACACATGCATTGCTGTTTATGATCCACCAGCAAGTTCAACATCGAATGAAGGTCGAATATGTCTCGATTGTGGATTCACAAAATTGTATTGTAATTGGGATGCAGCAGGAACAGCTCGATACATAGTAAATGCTAGTTGTTGGTTATTGCGAATAGAAAATCGTTTTACTTAAAATAGAAGAATACCAAATTATTTTTTCCCTTGTGACGTATGCTATTTACATGACTTTCAAAAATACTGTCGATTTCAATCCTTTTTCTTGTTTTGTAATAAAAAATCCATTAATCTCATATATACGTTTGTATATATAACTTAATTGAAACAAATTTAGTAAAATTAATTGTTAGTTTGATGGCCAGACTGAATGACAAATAGTAATTTGTATGTTTCTGACAACAACCGTTTCATACTTAGAGGTAACTTATGAAATTTCAAATTGGCATGACAAAAATGATGGAATACTCCGAATGTATGTTTCACAAGACTTGCCTTGTATGCAGGAAATAACATGTGAAAGAGAGAGTGACCTGAAAACTTCACAATTGCATACTTTCGATAAGGAATAGAAAGAAAAAACTCATACTTATTGATCGTATCGTATTCTTCACAAAGATAAAAAAAGTCCATGAGTCTTGTAGATGATTAAATATGCAATAAAATCGACTATAAATACGCGAGAGCAAAATATCATTTTTGCATTGAAACACTGCCTTACCGTGTTAGTATACTTTACCTGTAGAGAAGTTACATTCGTGATAATCGATTTGCTTTCTAAGTCGATAGGTATTAAGTAGACTTCAGAATTGTTTCAAACAGTCCCTATGCGTTCTTATTCAAGATCTTACGATTAATGTCTTCGACAAGAAAACCTTCTTTGGAAACACTACCGACTGAAATACTTCACCAAATCTATGATGAACTCGATGCGGAAACAATTGTCTTTTCAATGCGAATCGTATCCAAAAGATTCTATTTAATTACCAATGTTTATAATCGTCTGCAATTAGATTTCCGTTATATATCGAAATCTCATATGCGAATGATGGCACAGCTCATCGATCCACAAAATGTTATTTCACTTACACTTGCTGATGTAAAGGAAACATCCGGTCAAATCAAATTATTTCTTTCTCATTTTTCTACTGACAGATTCATTCGTTTGCATTCATTGACGCTCACTTATTTAAATGATGAAGAGTTAGATCAATTGGCAAAACTGATTCACAGATCTTCTCTTAGAACTGTATCGATATCGTTTATGGATCCAGAATCGAATCAAGCGAAGCAGTTTCTAACATCAATTTTAATACGTGAAACCCTTCGCACATTGAAACTTGAAAATGGAGATTGGATCATTAATGGCACACGATGGCCGAAGCGATGTAAACTGCAGGATATGATTATGTATCGTGGATGCGATTGGGACACAGCTTACTTTATTGTTAAATATTCATCGAATCTACGAAAACTTACTATACGATGTATTCTAAAGTATAACATTGATGAAACGATAACTTTATTACCTGATATGAAACCGTGCAATCATTTATCTTACCTTTCCTTATGTGTGACGACTGATCTAACTATTGAAGATGTCGAGATATTTCTCGGACTTTTTCCTAAATTAACTTATCTTGAATTAACTTGTCTAAAAGATGAAGCTAATTACTCATTATTCGATGGTCGTAGATGGGAAGACTTTATTCAAACGAAATTGCCTCTATTGGATCAAATCAAACTCGATCTTGTCTACTCGGTACGTGGAAATGGTGAAAACGTTCCTACAGTTGAATCATTAATTGCTCCATTTCGCTCATTGTTTTGGAAAAAAGTGAAACATCTTGTTGTTAATTGCGATGAAGAATACGAGAATGATCATCACAAGTTTCATCTTTATTCAACACCGAGATCTCGAGAAGAATTCGATTATTCTCATCAACGAAAGACAATCGTCAGATCTATATCGAATATTGTTGATTACAATCAACCGATCATCATCAATACGAAAAAATTAACTCTAGATTTAAATCCAACAACAAACACAAGCATCCAAGACAACGTAAGTATTAATAACATTCTGAAGCTTTTGAGTGAATTGTCAATGATATAAGATTTTTACAAAAGCATGGAATTTCGTTTATTTAGACTAGTTTAACAAGACCGTATATATTTCAAAAAGTAACGGAACTTGAGTTATTGATTGAGCAAGAATGGCCGATCAACGCAATAAAACATCTTTCAACAATGGTTAATTTATTAACTCTTCGAACAATATGCTTAAACTTCAAATCCGATTGCAATTTCATCGTCAGTTTAGACGCCGAAATCAAAGCACTATTCGAGCAAACATTGAATTTACGTTCAATACGAATTATGTGTAATGACTACATTGGTATGAAAGTCTTAGTCCGTGATTATTCTGAAAAGTTAATGTTAATAACTCGTAATAGTATTGCTTTGAATTTACCCCGTCATATCAAAACACTTGATATTGAAGTTAAGGATGTGGAAGATGCCAAGACAGTATTAGAACATAACAAATATTTGGCACGTGTTACATTTCGGCCAATCTATAGGGGTGAGAGGTTTTCAGATGGTATCGCTGAATGGATGAAAAACATGAATAGAGATGACACACTTAGAGACGATTGGGACGTTTTTTGTGGATGCGACTCCGACAAGTGTGATTCAATTAAAGCTGTTCATCTATGGCTTGAAAATAAATTGGACTGAACAATTCATCATATCACATAGTCAGAAAAGACTTTCTTTTGTATATATTTCGATCATTAATATATTCTACTTACATAATTGATTCGACAATTTTCGAGTAATCATAACATGAGAGGAATAAATTTATCTCTACAAAAACTGGAAGTATGTGTATATCTTTCAGAGTTGATTTACACAAGATAATGTCTCTTATTGCTTGATATCAGTTACATTTACTACTCAGTTAATACGAAGACTATACTCACATTTCAAACAGGCACGTTTAGTTAAGTTTTGACTGTATTTTTGGTTTCAAAAGAAAATCTTTCTAATGCAATAACATATTTTATGACTTTATCTTACTTCATATCCATAAAAATTACGACACCGTCTTTTCGTTGTGTAAAAGCCAATGTTTGAGACACAAAAAAAGATTAAATGTATTTTCAAGCGTCTTTGTTACATTTAGATAGTATTATAGAATATATCTTGAATGAGTCAGTGGGAAATTTTTTACGAAGTATTGCGTAGTTTTTAACCCTTTCAGTTAATTAAATTTGCTATTCAAATCCTTTTACTACACCATCAATGATTTCTTGTATTCATAAGCTGCAGAGTTTTCGTTCTAGGAAAAGATCCTGCAACAACATGGAAGCGACTACTTTAAATACGAATCATCTCTCAAACCTACCGAAACTACGAAACATTGAAAATTGTCTTCTGGTTTGGCTCGACTCGAATATCAGTGAGTCGGATGATTATTATCGAAGTTCAATCGATGAACTACAACATATCGTTAACTTCGTATATTCTTTTTCGGATGTCGATCAATGTGTTGATTTTGTAACTGACATCGATTATGAAAAAGTATTTATGATTATATCCGATTCATTGGCTCAACAGATGTTACCTGCTATTGAAAATGTGCCTCAAATTGAGTCGATTTATATCCTTGCTCACAATGACGTGGAGAATGAAATTATCAACAGAAAATGGGCAAAAGTGAAGAATACCTTCACTCAGTTCGATGAATTGTGCAAATCTCTGAAACGAGACACTCGCTCTTGTGAATATAACATTTCTTCGATTAAAATTCTACGTCCTGTTAATTCACTTAATCAAGATTTGAATGAATTGGATCAATCATTTATGTATTCACAACTTTTGAAAGAAGTTTTGCTTGAAACAAATTACAACGATGATTCAAAGAGAAAACTCGTTGAATTTTGTCGGCATCACTATCGTGATAGTATATCACAGTTAAAAATCATCGATGAATTTGATCGAGACTATCACAATCATACACCGATATGGTGGTATACACGGGAATGTTTCACCTATTATATGCTCAATCGAGCTCTGCGAACTCAAGATATCGAAGTGATTATCAACATGGGCTTTTTCTTACGAGATGTTCACGAACAAATTCGAATGTTACATGCAGAAACACCGATTAATTCTATTCCCTCTATAGTTTACCGAGGACAAGGAATGAGCAAAACGGAAGCAAAAACACTTCGGGAAAATCTTGAGGGTGGGTTGCTTGCTTTCAACAGTTTTCTATCAACAAGCGTCAATCGCGAACTATCTGTGCTTTATGCAGAAAGCGCCGCACAGAATCCGGATCTAGACGGAATTCTATTCCAAATCAGTATCGATCCTACTATCAAGGTAACGCCATTTGCTGCAGTAAACAACTACAGCTATTATGGTAATACGGAGGATGAAATACTGTTTTCAATGCATACGGTTTTTCGTATTGATGGGATAAAACAGCTACAAAACGACATATCTCTGGTCGACTTAACGTTAACGACCGACGATGATCCACAACTTCGTATTTTAACAGATCATCTAAGACAAGAGAATTCTGGAACTCGAAAAGGGATTCGTCTGGCTCAGCTGTTATTCAAAATGGGGAAGTTCGACGAAGCTGAAGAGATCTATCAGACAGAGCGTAAACTGGCATCGGATAGTAATGTTGAACACTTGGTTCAAGTTTATGACAACCTTGGCAACGTCCAAAGATCCCGGGGTGATTATAATACCGCTCTTTCATACTTTGAAAAGGCACTTGAATTAGTACAACAAAACTTTTCCATAGAAAAACGCATCGTTATTTCTTTATATATCAATGTTGGCTTGTTGAAACAAACCATGCAAGATTATTCAGGCGCCCTGATGTGCTACCAGGAAGCACGAGATATTTGTGAAGTATATTTTCCATCTACTTATAGTTTACTAGCTAGTATTTATCATAATCTTGGGTATCTGTACTCTGATATGCACGAATACTCAACGGCACTTTCATTTTATGAAAAATCATTAGAAATGAGTGAAACATTTCTTCCTGGAAATCATTTAGATATGTCGATTACATATAATGGTATGGGTGAAATATATAGGCGTCAGGGACAATATTCAACTGCGATCTCGTATTTTGAAAAAGTGATAAAAATTCGAGAAAAAACTCTTCTTCCAGGTCATATAGCTATAGCTACTGCGTATAATAGTATGGGTGTTTTATACCAAAACACGAAAGATTATCCAACTGCGCTCTCGTTTTTGCAAAAGGCGCTGCGCTTCTGGGAGGAAAGTCCCTATGTGTCCCATACAAACTTCGCTGGAACATATCTCAACATTGGTTCGCTATATAAAGAAATGAAAGATTACTCAAATGCTCTTGTGTACTGCCAAAAAGCGTACGATATATATCAGAAGTCTCTTCCTCCACATCACGCTTATTTCGCTATTGCACACAAAGAAATTGCTTCCGTGCATTATAGAATGAAAAATTATGCCAACGCACTCCCGCATTATGTGGCAACATTGGACATTGCTCAAACAATTTCCATATATGAAGATGACCAATACATTGATATTTATATTTCCCTTGCTACCATATATAGGAATATGAAAGATTATAAAAATGCGCTCATATTTCATCAAAAGACTCTCGAGTTCGTAAAGAAGGTTAGTCCAGGCGATCATTTTCTGATCGCAGACGTCTTGAAAAATACCGGCGAAGCACAACGTCTATTAGGAAACTACGATGATGCTATATCATCTTTTGAACAAGCTCTCGTGATGCTTTTGAAATGGCTTAAACCAACTTATCCATCAATAGCATTCATCTACAAACGGATTGGAATGATATATAATACAAAACAGGACTTCTTAAATGCACTATCGTACTTCCATCAAGCATTGGATGTTGAAGAAAAGTCTGTGCCACTTGATGAGGCAAATCTAAGCGCTACCTATGACAACCTTGCGAGTGTTTACGCAAGTCTAAATGACTACTCGACGGCAACATCTTATTTGCAACAAGCGTTAGTCATTGAGGAAAAAAGGGTTCCGCAAGACGGTTGTTCCTTATTTCATGTTTACAATAATATGGGTTCGATATATAGCCGTACGGGGGACTATTTCATGGCAATCTTATTTATGAAAAAAGCGTTAGCAATTTGCGAAAAAACAATGCCAGAAGACGATCATAAACTAAACTTAATCCACGCACAACTTAGCTTTGTTTATAGACGTATGGGGTGTGATGAAATGGCCTTATTCTACGCACAGCGTATCGAGAACTTCGATTTTACTCGTTTGACCAAATATTCAGACTCTTTATAGTATCATAGCAGCGACTTTAAAAAAAATTTTGGTTCACATGCAATACATTTCATACGCACTATATCCAAGATATGAAACAAAGGGCTCTATTTGAAAAATCTGTAATTCACTCAAGAAAGAAGAGATAAAAAGCTGTAATTCGAGGACTCATTATTTGACTTGTTTTAACCTTTGTGAAGCTTTTCCTACTGCATTAGTTATTTAACTAGATGGGCTGATTGGTAATCATTTGATTGTTTACTAAAATTCGAGGTCTATGATTACGACAGTCTATTCCATACATCACTCTGAAATAGTTAAACATCATTTGATATCTTTTCACCTGACTGAAAATAATAGGTTCGCTTTAAACAAACACGTTTTGTTTCTTCGCTTCGCTTCATACCTTAGCAACGACAATTCGATCAAACCATCACGTGCCATTAGGGCGACGATGTTTTAGATCAAATGATGATTCTATTAATTCACAAGTTCAACCTCTTGTTGATGAACAGCTCTTAAGTGTGAATGTTGACAGTGTTATTTCGAATTGTTATCGAAAAATAGACAACTGGTGTGATGAATGTAACGATTTAATTAATCGAATTTATCAAGAAAATGTGATGAATACAAAGAGCGTTGTCTTGAAAAGATCACTAAAGCAATACGAAAAAATTGAGGAGATAAAGCCAAACTGGATAATCTTATCCGTGAAAATAATGTATTTTTGTTCGATAAAAATCTGATTGTTGTCAGAGAATGTCACTGGAAACTTGTTACCATATCTGATATATGTTGGTCATCAACATTGAATAGTTTTACAGTCCTGACAAATACAAATAGGATCTTTTTACTGAATGAAGATTTAATTGATATTCAACCAATCGAGATGATTGAAAAACAGTCATCGGTATCGCTTACCTGTTCAGTTGTAAGCCTGTTTCTAACAACGAATGAAATCAAACCAAGTATACATGTACTTAGTCCGTTATTATCATTTCTTTTAATTAAAAAATGGATATGCGCAAGTCACTGTACGTCGGGAAGGGAAATTATTCAGCATATCCCACCTTGCAATGAAACAGTAGCATTTTTTGTTGATATCGATAGCGATTAAGGAAACCATACGTGTGGAACTTCGATCGATGTTAGCGCTAGATCTTTTATGGTCTTGTGTTCTTTGTGAAAACATTATAATGTGTCCAGCGTCTAAAACGTTTAGTAAGGGAATTGATTTTATTTCAAGTCATAATATACGAATAAATCGGTTATGTTCACTGAAATGTGATGAGTAGGTTGAATTGTTTTACTCTACACCAAGTCTTCTTGTTATTGGTAAAGATCGAAAATTAAAGGAACCATTTAAATATCAATTGAAACCTTGCAGTGTTATCTTGTCCGACTCAAACACACTGGTTATTAGAACACTTAAACGTGTCAATTTTTATCGTGTATAATTTCACAACTATATGTGTTCTGTAGAATAGTTGCATTCACAAATGGGATTTTTACCACGATTCACCAAACAATAACGCTGACAAAATTCTTTCTGCTTGTTCGTATAACGTAATCACTACTTGAGATGATGAATAAAACAGTTGTATGAAGCAAGTGTTATTCATCCTGCATCGTAAAAAAAATCTGTCAACGCTATATGATCATCCGAATAATGACTCACTCTTCTTGATAACGTTCGAGAAGAGGAAGAAAGGTGGATTGCTTTGATATTCTTTAACACTGAAACTCTGATGCAATCTACTTTCGTATAGATTATTGTCTACTAACCACGGATTTTTCCTCATTTATGTTATCATACAAATATATATATATATATATCGAAGAGTGAAAAGGATCAAACAAAAATCAACTAAGATTTGCTGATTCATCATGAATTGTACAACGAAAGTACACTACACTGATGGGGATGGTAACATACGCATCAAAGAAAATAACACGTTCACCTCTCGAACTTCTTTGCTTGATATCATTCAATGGATTTTCACCTGGTTAAAATACACTTATGCATTCGACTTGCAAATTCTCAATCCACATAGTAGTGAATGGATTGATTTTGATCATCACTATTTCAATCAAACAAAACCATATGAACATCAGTCAAGAATCGACCTGAAAATTCTTCCGACTAATGGTATGACTTCTTAAATATAGGATTCACTCTTTTCAATAGGATTCATGTTGTAGATGGTCAATTTCGAAATTCGACATTTATTGTTGAGAAATATCAAGCTCCATCGCTCATAACCATTGATCGTGATTATCCGACTATCATTTTCACAGAAAATGTTAATGCCGAGCAGCGTGATGAGGATATTGATAAAAGATCATTTATCAAAGGAAATTCTCGCTTGAATGTACGGAGACCCAAAGTCAAAGTAAAGACTTATATTTTCTCTGCTACATACAAAACGGATGTTTTATTTGTAGATCATGAGCGAAAATATTAACGTAGAGAATTGTTCACTTATCAATTTATTGGTCTTTCTCATATGGGAAGTCTGTGACAAAGGTGTGCGCACATTATATTACCATCCATATCGAAAGTTAGTCGGCGACTGTGCAAATGAAGATCACATTACAATTGTTCCTACGAGCGACATGTTCGAACACGGAGATGAGTAAGCAGAATCTACGTTGTTGTTTTTGTTTATTATATCAGTGCCTTATTTGTAGTCTTAATGTTCCAACAATGGGCATTCGTGGTGCAAAGACAGGTGATCGAGATAAAAGCAAATTCTTACTTTGCCAATTGAGCAATAGACTGTGCGAAGAGACATCCTATGAAACAAGTCGTTTGGCATGTTTATTAATGGGAAATGGAAATCCTTGGTGGAATACACTTGCACTGTCAAATGCAATGATTTTCACTAGTAAACACATAAGCTTTTACTTATTTGTATAATACATTTTTCTTTCAGAGTCTTTCTATACAATAGAATCAAGAGATGCGCTGGACTGTAATGGGCAAATCATTGAAAGAATACTTGTTCAAATTTTCAAACGGAAAACGAATTTGAACCAGCACGGTAAGATTAGTTTTAGCTTAACATCATCCTTGAAATTGAGGTTAAAATGGACGTATTTTATTTTGAGATGCCGTACCAGAACACACTCCACACGCCGAGAAACGAAGAACATCGACAGAGAGCAATGCAAGTACCGATTCGTTTATGTGTGCTGTTCAAAATAGTTTTCACACTACCGAACATATGAACTCTCGATATCTACCAATAACTGTGAGCAATGTCATACACGATCAGGTTAGTCTTGTTAAATCAGATGATTTAGAACTTGTATAATCTGTATCAGTCTGTCGGTGATCCAAGTCAAGTGTCAGAATCGACATTGCTAAGTGGCGTAGATTCATGTAAGAATATCATTGAAGAAAGAATTTCATGCTGAATTATTTATTTTCATGCACTAGATACAACATCGCCTAACTGGCCTGATTTCGAACTTACTTCGAGCTTTCCCATCTCTCCGGTGAGTACGACGATGTACTTTTCGTGCTACGAACGAGCGCTTCTTGTTTGACTTTCACTTACGATGTAATTCTATTAATTTTTGTGCTTAGTTTGGAACCGAAAACAATGCAGACCAAAGCGATACTGTCAATAGTACAAGTATGTCACCCTTAGCATCATATGTTCCATTCTATGATATTACTTGTCCTTCGTTTGATCATAATGCTCGAAATGTTCGATAATATTTTATGAAAAAGAAAATAAAAGCAATCAGAAAACAAACAACGACGACAGCAAAAATAGTAGTAACAGCTGTAAGCGGATCAGCATCGAATTGATTAATGAACCGGGCATCCCAAGAGTGCCACGATCTTCCCGCATCATGATAGATATGTTCAGCTAAATCATCTTTTGATAATATCATTAGTCCTTCTATTTGGCCTAATTTTCGTAGAGTACTCGTGAGAAAAATCGATTCTGTTGAGAAAACTTCCAAATACGAAACAAGATAGATTGTATTTAAAAATGTTTTTCGAGGATAATTCCCCAATATCTTCTCTACAATCGTTGAAAACAAGCTTCTCAATATGCTTTTCGTGTGAATAAACATCTAGGTCAACATAAATGCCACCAAACTCATGGAGAACAACTAATCGGGCTAGATGCCAACGTTGAATGGAATACAAATATGATTTATAAACTGGATATAAGTACTGATATTCAGCGTTTAAAATCAATTTTTCAATTTGATCATCTAGAGATGTATTTAATAATTTCGTGAAAAACGTTTCCAAACATCATGTGAGTTCTTGATTGGATAAGAAGATAAATTACTTGTTTACCACATTTGATGAATGATCAGGGGAATTCTTCTATTTGATTCATCCAATTGTTGATCGATAGAACAAGTGTCCATATAATCAATATTATTTACCATATCAAGGAAATAACTATCATTCTACATACGATTAACAAGTAAAAACGAATTCTGATCAATGATTTAAACATTCGAACTATAAACTACAGTTGATGTTGTTCTCTTTTTTATGTTCGATTTTTGTTTTGTTAATTGATATTCATTCATGAGTGAGAAATTTAGAAATTGTTATTCTAGATAATGGTGAAGTTAACAACAAGTGAAACAAAACAATTACGTGTAGTTGTTTTCAAATAGAAATGAAAATATGGAAAAATAAATCTTCAGATTGAATTATAATAAGGTAGAACGTGTGAAGTTGTGATATTCTTGAGAAAAAAAAGATATCAGTTGAAATCTTTTATATTTATCGGGATTATAATCTAAGAATAAGTGCAAATAAAATTTAGAATAAAAAGAAATTTTTCTCTAATGTTTTGTTCCAAGACGACTTTTTAAAGTGGCAATTCCAGTGAGAATTTTGTTTTTATGTTCTTCATTGTAAATTCCAAACTCGATAAGAAGTTTTTCACCAACATATTGAAATAATCCATATCCATCAACTCGTTCTGCTCGAAAACGCTCGGCATAAGTTTTATAAGCTGGTCCCATAGAATCGATCCAATAATAAACATCATGTTCCGTCCAGCAAGCTAAATTAGGTCCTTGATACAATGCTGGAAAAGAATATAATAGAAAGATTGTTTCGATTCATTTCAATGATCGATACTCACGTCTTTTTGACGAAGAAAAATTACTGTATGTATGGGAAGAACGATTTGTTCCATTAGTCATATAATCATTCTGTCTTTCACCGTATCTACGATCATTTCCTTGAAAAATATTTGGCTGATAATTCACTGGAACATTACGCATGTTATCAGATTGACGTGAGGATTCTTGTTTAATTGTGCTAGTGTAATGAACAGGTAATGTCATTGGGAATTGGGTATGATTTCTTTCAGCTTCAGCATAATCTGATTGTCTGTTAAAATCGTTTCTTGTTGAGATGAATTGTGTTGACGATCGTATTGGTTCAGGTGAATGGGATTGATACTCATATTTTATTGTTTTTCTTTCTTCAAATGCTTGTTTAGGTGCTTCTGGTTTTGCTTCCCATTCCTTTGATAACGATGATGATGTATACAAGGGCGTTTCAAACGATACTTTGGGTTCTTGCTTAGTCGATGACTTCGGTGTTTCAGATACTGATTCAAATACTTCGGGTTGAGATTGTATTTCTTCAATGATTGGCTTGGAATCTATATGTAAAGGTTGGGATTCATTTAATGGTGATTCAGGCTCTTCTACTAATGGCTGTGTTTCTTCTAATGTTGATGTCATTTCTGGTACTATCGCGGGTTCGTCAGTTGATAGTATAGATTCTTCCAATGGTGGTTGTGCTTGAGCTGGATTAGGTTCTTTGGATGTCGATTTATCTGGTTCAGATGATGAGCGCAATACTTCTGGTTGAGGCTGAGGCTGAGGGTGTGTTTTTGTTTCTTCAACATCGACAAATGTTGACTCGTCTGTTTTGTCTGTTGCTTGTATTTCTTCTACTGGTACTTTGGGATTCGTTACTTTTGGTTCTGATTCCAAATCTGACGACGAGAGTTGAAGTTTTTCTGTTGATACGTCTCGTAATGCGCTCGTAAATTTTGAAAGAATTGATATCGATGTCAGTTTTGAAGTCCATCGTTCTCCTTCATAGGCAATCCATTTGCTCAAAATTTCGAGGAATTTCTTTGCATAAATCTTCTCTGTCCATTCCGACGGAAGCTTACGATAACCATAATAAGCTCCAGCTAACTGTCCATAAATGGCTGCTGTCGTATCAGTATCATCACCGAGATTAACAGCTGCACACGCACCTTGTCGAAATGAATTTTCATCAGCCCAAAATGTCCATAAAGCAGCTTCGAGAGCATTCACAATATAACCTTTTCCGCGAATTCCGTCATCGTAACCTCCTTGTTTTTTATACGATCCTTTGGATATATGTAAGATCTCTTTCTCAAACTCATCACCTTGAAACCAATCTTGATGCTTTTCATAAAATTCATCGTCAAGCAGTTGTTCTTTGGTTTCACCATGAAGTGCAGCAACAATTAAAGCACCATAATATCGACAAGCATCGTAAGCTTTTTTATCACCATGAGTAATTTGTCCACTAATACCAGAATACAGAACAGCTTTTGCTGGATCTTTATAAAAGAATAGTGGAACAGGTGCGAGACGCATTAGAGCTCCATTACCAGCAACACCATCTTCACTACATAACACATTGAAATTCTTTAAAAAGTCATCATGGGAGAGAAAATCAATATGTTCTAATGGAATATTATTCTCTTTGGCAAACTGTCGCTGTCTGTTTTCAAATTCTTCTAATGATTGTCTCGTCGCTGCACCAATATCAAAACAAGTTCCTGTTGAAGACATATAACCATGACGATACCACCATTTATAACGAACTAATTGGTCGTAGGGTACAAAATCAGCACGCGCTATCAGCGAATTTGCCAAGCATAATGCCATTGATGTATCATCTGTAAACTAGAAGATCCGAATTTGATCAAATCTGCGTTCTGACAAATACAATGACATACTTGTCCTATTTCTAAACCCCAAGTTCCACCACCTCGAAGATCTTCAACAGGATTCTGAACCAAATATTCTCTCGGTCGAAATTCAACATGAGCACCCAGTGCATCACCGGCAGCCATGCCAAATATCGAACCTTGAATACGATCAAAAATATCATCCGAATAATTTTTCGGAGGATCTTGCATTTCATTTTCCAGTTCGTTCGGCTTTTTGATCGATTTCTTTTCATTATCATGATATTGACAATTAAGCCATTGTTTATCTAAACATTCCCATCGAATTACATGCGTTCCTCTTTAACAATCTTACCTGTTTGAAATTGACATGCGTCTAAATTTGGTTCCATCAGTTGATCATTACTATTATTGGACGTTGATTCTGAGAATGAATGCGATGATTTGTTCACATGTTCACTATGCATCGAAGTATCAACCGATGATGTTTCATAATCGATTTCATCTTCAATGGATTTTTCATCGATCGAGTTTGCCATATCTAAAACAGATGTTGACTGTTTATGTACGGATGAATTTCCTGTTGAGATAGATTGTATCGAAAAAGAAACGTGCTGATAAAAAAAAAGATATTTTGTCTCGTGTTAAAATAACAAATATGTGATAGAATTTGTTCTGTTTGCATAGATTGGACGAAGAGAAATACGATTAAAGATCCATTTCATCGATGGATGATACATTCATAAAAAATGTTATTGACAATCTCGGACGACATAGTTTGTTGTAAAATCATAAAGAATACTCTTATCTTATACACAAAAAAAAATCGTTTTTTTTTAAATAAGAGAATTACATAACCTTCGGTAATACATACTTGTTATGTTTGGAGAGGAAGTACTATAAGAAAATGTTTGAAATTTTATGAGAATTTAAACAAAATCGGAATCATTATGAGAAACTTGCTGCGATAGACAAAATCGAATTATTCGTTAATCTATGTGGTTGTTCTGAGTCGAAGGAAATGATAAAAATTCATTTCGAATAAAACACCAACTACCGTTATAACTCATGTTTTACCTTTTTATTTTTCTTTCATTTCTTTTTCAACAGTAATAAAGACACTTCAACAAAAATAATCTCTCATTACAAACGTACGAGACGAATCATTGAAAGTTTCAAGATCAACAGCAGAAGAAAAACAACGTCGTTCTCCTTTCGTTTTTTTCTCTTCTTTTCGATTACTGTCTGAACAAATACAACAATTCCATTCTGATTGAGGAGCTTGTTTAGAAGAAAAACATTTCAATCAGTTTTAATCAACAAAGACGTATGCCAACATCATTACAAAAATTTTCATAAAATTTTTGTTATTCACAAAAACAAACCACATTGAAGTGAAGAACTTCGTTGAGTGAGATATGCATAGAAAAGGACAGCTGATAAAACTAGCTTCTTATCATAGTGAAGGCGTTTTGTGATGAATGTTAAACTGTTGAGCTATGCTTTATACTCGATAGTTATCCAATGCTGTGATGTGCTCAGTTGTTGTCATATAAGTGATTACAGGATTGCTTGTCCTTGACTTGCAGTCGTTACTTATCAGACTGAATGCTGATTCACATATAAGCAAAGATAGATATGAGTTGGTTAAAGTCATATCGTCGCTCACGATTGGATTCAAACAAGCGCGAGCAAATAAAATAGAAAAGAGAAATCGGTGTTGATCTTTTATTCTTGTCTTTCTTTTTTCACGAAAACCATTCACAATTCAACGAATAAATTTTGATTCGATATGATCTAAAGGAAGGACTTCGTATGTATACAATTCAAAAGATACACTTAGACAAACCTTTCACGACTATTTGTCTCAGTATGACTTATGAATGTCTTTTAAATCGAGATTCTTTCTTGCAGATGTATAGATAATTTTCCCAGTTGGTTCTTGTTCGTTTCAAGATGTAAATGTGCTTCAAGGTCTTTGACTAAAAACAAGTCCTATAATCAGATACATAAGAAACTAGTAATATGATTCGAGGAGCCATCTGAAATCATGAGGATTAATTAACACGATTTAGAAACCACATGAATTATTTCGATTTCAGCGAAAAAACGAATATTCAGACATTCGGCTTACGAGTGAATGGAAACGATAAAATAAGCAGTGAATCAATTTAACTACAACAGAGACATGTGGACAGATAATACTTGGGTGAATTCCTTTCATGAAAGTAAATGAACGAGTCAAATCGAAGGAAACTTTTATCGTTAAAACTAAACTTAACTTCGTTCCTAAACAAATGTTAATACAGAAAAATGATAAAAAGTTCGGATCAAAAGACAATGTGTTCAATGATTATTATATTCTATTCGATCTGTATGATTTGTGAATCGATGCCTATCTTAAATGGCACTAATTCTTTCTTTGAGAAATTCACAACTGTGTGAACATCATTCAGTATTTTTATTAATAAGAAAGATAACTATTAACAAAGAGAAATTCAATCGTTTTGTATTACTGAAGCCAGCAAAAAAGTACTGTTTCATCGGCAATTTCATATGGAATATACTGATCAATTCGATATGAACGTACACTATTCTTCCAAATACTACGCATTTTTGAATGCTGTTCATCTCCACCTGTTAAACCACCATGACAAATAACAAAATTTAACTTTGGAAAACCATTTATAAGTATGTCTAATGCTTCGGGAAATTGAATATCATCGCCATTTTCACAGCAAAACTCTATTATTTGTAATTCTGACAATTGTTTGACGATCAAAGAAAAGACTCTTGTCAAATCTCCAATTCTCCAATCTGTATAAAGATATAATTTTTGTAATCCATTTGACATGAAAATCTTGCACAACGAAGTATCACTGAGAAAATTGATTAAATTTTCTGTCATTGAATTTGTATCTTTGTTTTTTCAGGAAAAGTGCAGATTGAGAGTACGTAAATTAATCATTTTGGATACTAACCAACGTAACTGACATGAACTCAATGGATCGTGGATCGATAATGAAACAATCTCGTGCCACGAGTTAACACTTCGTAGGTAAAAGAGACATTTGTCATTCATTTCTATGTCTTCACATGCGATGCTTAGTTCCTTAAAACATATCGGACGACTATAAATGCTGATGGGCATGGTAGCTGAACGTCGACTTTGCCTATAAGCAAAAAACAATATCAATTATAAAGCAAGAAACAAAGAAAGGTATCTACATACGCGAAGACGTCGTTTTCACTCAGATATTCACTAGTACTAAAATATCTTTTCGTTTGTGTCGTTGTCGAAACTGCAATACAATAACCGTAATTACGTAAAGATAATTTGACTTCGATTGGTAGTCGACTTCGTAATTGTCGAAATGTATCTAACAAAATGGTACTGGTATCCGATAATGATATGATAGTTTCTACACGCCAATGAACCATCAGTGTATATGAACACTGAGAGGAAAGCATAGAAAGTAAGTTACGAACAATTACAGGTGCAGCTACCCATCCCAATAACGTGAAACTCGTCAACAAAAGCAAAACATCGCGCTCAAATAATTGATCGAGTAACTGTATATCACTATTGCCATGTTCCAATTTTATTTTAAGACGCCGTAGATTTGGAACAAGGTCTTTATTAATCGTTGAAATTCGACTGAAATAAATAAAGAAAAAACACAATTCTTCAAAGAGTTCGAAACATATAAGATGTTATTTGAATCTTTCCTATATAATGCCATCTATACCAATGTTCTTTTGGTAAAAAAACCTGTTTGAACAGTTAGTTATTTATCTCATTAAAATCTGTACTGAGTTTGTTCGTGACACGATATTTCCACCCGCGACATTACCCGCGGTAATGTCGTGGAACCGGTTTTCCAAATAAAAGAAGGAAAACTTACTTGTTCGAACAACGGTTTAATGGATGTTTCTCAGGTAACCAAAGAGCAGACAGATGAAAGCTAAGATCTTGTAATTGTGGAAGATGTTTGAGTAAATGCACCAGAAAGAGTAATGAACATTGTCGAATTACAATTGATTGTAAATTAAGATGGCATGTTTTAATCGGTATGAAAACTTCATTGATAGGTAAAACTATTTGTTTATCCAAAGTTTTGTATATACACATCAGAAAACATAGATGACATACACGTAAACGTGGAAATAATTTGAAGATGCTTTCATAATAAGCACCTTCAGGTACACCTATATATGTATAAAGCGCCCGACGGAAACTAGTAAATCGTACAGTAAACATGGCGAGAGAAGTGTTAGAAAAACACTCATTGAGCATTAATTCGAATACAGAACGTTTTATATCAATTAAACATAAATGACGAAGATGAATGAAAGAAGATAAATGTGTGGATAACCATAATCCATTGTCAAAAGCGAACTCATCTGACACACATAATGAGATCAAACTACGGCTGATAGTCGATTGTGCCAAATGTGTATGATAGAATTCAGTTAAAGTTATATTCATTGTACCAAAACCCAAGTAAACAGACGTAAGCGGCATGTTATTAACGATAGCAGCCAAGCGAGAATTAAGGTTAGAGAAAGTATTGAACACTTCATGAAACGGAAAATAGGCGAATATTTCATAGAACAATTCGACCGATAAATCTTCCAACGTTGTCATTGCCCTATATTGTGTTTAAATTTCAATTTATGAAATTATCTGTACAGCATTCTTTTCGTTTAATGATTTTATATGAACAACGACACAAAGCTTCATTGTACTCTCTGCCAATCACATCATTTTCAATCGTCGATTTTGTCGCTCAATATGAATAGATTGGATACTTTTTACCTTCCTTTCTGACGCGATTTATCTTCTCCTTAACGGTAATAATAGGAGAGAATGATTGAGTTTTAGCTGTCACATATTAGCGTTCTTTTCATTAGTGATCATTAAATAGACAAGCTGTCTTAGTTCTGATGTTTGGTAACGTGAGATCTTTTTTTAGAGACGGTTTGAGACTGTATATGAGTATTCGTTGAGTCCAAGCTGGTTTTTAATAATTCTTATATGATATTGTCACTACTCAATCAATGACATCAAAATAATATATTCAATTTTATTTAAGATCATTCGATTTGCGTCTTTGATCCTCAGATTGTCAGGAATAAATAAATTTCTAATAGCACTTCTAATGCGACTTTTTCTTTTCATGGAAATAAAAATGAAATTAATCGTTAACCTCTGTAGTCGCTCTGAATCGAATACAATAAAGATATTTCAACAAAAATAATCTCTCATTACAAACGTACGAGACGAATCATTGAAAGTCTCAAGATCAAAAGCAGAAGAAAAACATTTCAATCAGTTTTAATCAACAAAGATATATGCCGACATCATTGCAAAAATTTTCATCAAATTTTTGTTATTCACAAAAACAAACCACATCGATGTGAAGAACTTCGTTGAGTGAGATATGCATAGAAAAGGACAACTGATAAAACTAGCTTATCTTTTATCTGAAAACACGTTTCATATATGATGTCGAGCCTCTCACCGTAGTGGATGCGTTTCGAGATGAATTTCAAACTGTTGATTCATATTTTGTGCTTGATAATTATTGAAAAATGCGTTGCAATCAGAGATGTTGAATATGAACAAGTAATCAGCGATCGATATTTGTATTCAATCAATCGAAATCAATCAACTTACTGGAATCTAATAGAGAACGTTCGATCAGCATGGCAAGTTTGCTCCTTGCCACAATATCATCAACAATCGAGTGACGGTGTTTGGTTATTTATTCAACGAGAGAAACANATTCAACATGCGCCCCCAATGCATCACCAACAGCCATGCCAAATATCGAACCTTGAATACGATCAAAAATATCATCCGAATAATTTCTCGGAGGATCTTGCATCTCATTTTCCAGTTCATTCGGCTTTTTGATCGATTTCTTTTCATTATCATGATATTGACAATCAAGCCATTGTTTATATAAACATTCTCATCGAATTACATTCGTTCCACTTTGACAATCTTACCTGTTTGAAATTGACATGCTTCTAAATTCGGTTCCATCAGTTGATCATTACTATGATCTGATGTTGATTCTGACAATGAATGCAATGATTTGTTTACATGTTCACTATTTAACGAAGTATCGATCGATGATGTTTCGTAATTGATTTCTTCTTCAATAGATTTTTCATCGATCGAGTTTGCCATATCTAAAACAGATGTTGACTGTTTATGTACGGATGAATTTCCTGTTGAGATAGATTGTGTCGAAAAAGAAACGTGCTGATAAAAAAAAAGATATTTTGTCTCGTGTTAAAATAACAAATATGTGATAGAATTTGTTCTGTTTGCATAGATTGGACGAAGAGAAATACGAATAAAGATCTATTTCATCGATGAATGATACATTCATAAAAAAATGTTATTGAGAATCTCGGACGACATAGTTTGTTGTAAAATCATAAAGAATACTCTTATCTTATACACAAAAAAAATCGTTTTTTTTAATAAGAGAATCACATAACCTTCGGTAATACACACTTGTTATGTTTGGAGAGGAAGCACTATAACAAAATGTTTGAAATTTTATGAGAATTTAAACAAAATCGGAATCATTGTGAGAAACTTGTTGCGATAGACAAAATCGAATTATTCGTTAATCTGTGTGGTTATTCTAAGTCGAAGGAAATGATAAAAATTTATTTCGAATAAAACACCAACTACCGTTGTAACTCATGTTTTACCTTTTTTATTTTTCTTTCATTTCTTTTTCAACAGTAATAAAGACACTTCAACAAAAATAATCTCTCATTACAGACGTACGAGACGAATCATTGAAAGTCTCAAGATCAACAGCAGAAAAAAAAACAACATCGTTCTCCTTTCGTTTTTCTTTCTTCTTTTCGATTACTGTCTGAACAAATACAACAATTTCATTCAGATTGCAGAACTTGTTTAGAAGAAAAACATTCCAATCAGTTTTAATCAATAAAGACGTATGCCAACATCATTGCAAAAATTTTCATAAAATTTTTGTTATTCACAAAAACAAACCACATCGATGTGAAGAACTTCGTTGAGTGAGATATGCATAGAAAAGGACAGCTGATAAAACTAGCTTATCTTTTATCTGAAAACACGTTTCATATATGATGTCGAGCTTCTCACCGTAGTGGGTGCGCTTCGAGATGAATTTCAAACTGTTGAGCCATATTTTGTGCTTGATAATTATTGAAAAATGCGTTGCAATCAGAGATGTTGAATATGAACAAGTAATCAGCGATCGATATTTGTATTCAATCAATCGAAATCAATCAACTTACTGGAATCTAATAGAGAACGTTCGATCAGCATGGCAAGTTTGCTCCTTGCCACAATATCATCAACAATCGAGTGACGGTGTTTGGTTATTTATTCAACGAGAGAAANGTTGGTATTTTCTAAGTCTAGTAACTCTATATAAACTTGATATGTTTTGGTAGAAGGGCGTTCAGTTGTGTAACTATTTCTGTTTTACAATAAACATCATTTAAGTTAAAACGGATCTAACAACAAGGTGATCCAAACAGCTGCGTCAAAGGACCAAATGATAATGATGGTCTTTGGACTTCGATGTACCTATCAAGTCAAGTATTTCGCTATGTTCTAATCAATGATTCGACTGTACAACAATCAGCATGGAAACATTTTCAAGCATTATACTTTCTTAGTCAAGTTACAGGTAAATCTGGTTATCCTGCACGATCAATAGCTCGAAAAGACGAATTTCCACCGGCTGATGATTGGTTCCCATCGCCAACTAATTCCAGTCTTCAATACAAAGGCGATACATCCTCTGATGAAATTGTCGGACATCAATTTATCTATCCATTAGTTTATGATTATCTATGTCAAGATGCTCAACAATGTTCTCAAGCATACGAAATTTTAATTAACATAACAGATCATATCATAACACACGATTGGTATTTAATTGGAGAAAATCATACACATACAACGTGGGGTATTTGGAATCCACGAGAAATTAACAATAATTCATTTTATCAAGAAACTCGTGGTCTGAATAGTTTGCAAATATTGTCGTTTTTATTTCAAGCGTATCGTCTAACGAAGAATGACCAATATTTAGATCGAATCGATGAATTAATTCAATTCTACCAATATGATGTAAATTTAATCAATCAAAAAATGATTGCTGTGTGCGATATTGATTATTCTGATGATGAACTAGAATATTTGTCTTATTTTAACATAGTTTATGCATTTTATCGAATCAAATCGTCGAAAACACCAAGCGAACGTGCCATGAAACTAATCGAACATTTCAAAGAATACATTTTAATTGGAATTGAACTTTCACACAAATATAAACGAATGGATAAGTCACCTTTTTATAATTGGATCTATTGTTATGTTTTAAATCAACTAAATTCATCGAATTCTGATTGTGATTCATTAATTAGCGATGGCGTATGGTATTTACAACGTCTCCCATTAGAATTAGTGAATTGGCAACAGTACAACTCGATGCGAATGGATATCGAAATCAATCAATTAGCTGCGTGTTTGACTGATGAATTGTATTCAAGAAAAGTTTTACCGCCAGATGAAAGAATTGTGCATTTATGGAATGGATCACCTTTTCGTTTAGATACTGGAAACCCTTTTTACGAAGAAGATCCAACGATATTTTTGATCAGTTATTGGGGAATGCGCTTTTATAATTTTCTTGAGAACTAGATCGACTTTTCAATGAAGTTTTATACAATTGAAATAAAAATCGATCAATAAAAAAATGTTCAATCGTTTTCATTCTTTCCGTTGTTGGCACGTGTTTACTCACCAACAACAATTATAAAGGAAAACAATCGTCCATTCACACTGATGAAAAGGCAAGACTAAATGTGATTACTATAGGGAAAAACTTGTAAAAGACAGAATGTTTGAAGATATCACTCTCTCGAACACAATATTTAGTGAATCCATGGGAAATTTAAGACAATAATGTTAGATTCTTCACTAATTTCGTTTTGTTTTGAACGATAATGAGAGTAGGATAATGATTTGAACTTGTGTCTTTTCTACAGCAATACATTGGTAGAACAGCTTATCCCTTCTTACGGTTTTGTCATCGATAAGGAGCACACACCGACCTCTTGTCTTCTTCATACTCTCATAGAAATCATGTTAAGACTATTAACATCGATGCTTGACGTCATAAGAAAGTGAATGGGCGGGTGCTCGGTTCTTTACCGAGAAAATATTTTATTAAATCCTTATCCATCTTTACTTAACACTTTCACATACATTGAAACAGTTCCATTTATTTTCAATGAATTTCACCCGCAGAATCACTTATACTCAAGTCTAGGCTCTACTTTCGAATGTTTAGTACATCAACGACTACCGTTTTTTGGTAGGTAACCGGATGAGACATTCAGAATGAACAGAATTTTAACAACAAAATGTGAAATATAACAATTATGATAAAAAGAATCTTCAATTAGTTTGGTATACCAATGAACAGTAATACAATGGATAGTAAACCAGTTTTAATGCAACAGGAACGTCTACTGATTTGAATCAAAGAAAGAAAATTCAATAGAATCTTCAATAATTTTTTTTATCCTACCTTTTTCTTTTATAACAAAAACACCTTTTCAAACGAAATTCTGTTTCGTCGTTAACAATATTTAGTTATGATATTGTACAAGTTTATAGAGAGCTGGTTGACTTTTAGTCTCTTCTAAAATACAAATAAACTTCATCAAGTGCGAGATTTTTTTTGCAGCGATACCCTAAAATACTGTTAAACATTCAAAACTAAATCGAATTTTAACTTTCTTTTGCAGTACTGTATTGATATCACCATGACTTTGCACATATTCCAAAGTGGTCCTACATAAAATATAACTAAACAGGATGTGAAATGAAAAACACCTTCGAAGTAAATGTCACACTGACATCTTAAATCTGTTAACTGCAAATGAATAGTTAAATATGATTGCGGAATATATGTGTGCATATTGTTATCTTAGAAATTGTAAAGAAAACTTAAAACTCTGGCATACATGTTGACTTACGAGAGAATTGAGAAATCAAATTGAGAGGAAATCTGTTATTATTCAAAAGTATTGATGTAATTGTACAATACAAAATACACAAATAAAAACATGCTTATTTAGTGAATACCACATATTGTATCTACACGATTAATCATCGAAGCACAACGCTCACAATGTTTATGGATAGTTTAGTAGAAAAGTAAATAACGAAGATATGCAACGAGATTAATACAATTGATAGTATGCGCAAATACTAAGGGAATAAAACAGATAAAGCGCAACGAATCACAGGAAAATTGATTGCTGAATGGTTAGGTCGTTGAAGTCTGATATGTATATAGTTTGTATATCATTATTCTTTATGCGTCATGTCGATGGTTTACTTCAAAATAAAACCTTATACTAACTCCTCATCATCGAAGAAAAATGGGTAAGTATTAACTAAATAAAGGTAATTTAACGACTAATAGTTAATATACGGAGTAACTATAGCTGATGACTTATACCACATGAGTTATTTATGTTGATTACATGCTTAGTGAGTATGTTGGACGAAAGATGGTGGAGATATCGTTGTTCATAATTTCGTCAACATCACACACCAAGTAGACAACGCTATGATGCTCATCGAAATTTGACAAAAAAACAACCATTCAACGTATGATTGGGAGACACCAGAAGGATGAGGTTATTGCGTTACAATCGAAATCATCAACGCTTATTGAATTGCGAATTATTTGCAACGTCTTTTCTAAAAGAGATCCAACTGACTTTTGCAAAAAAAAGTCAAATAATATAATGAAAAAAGAAAACACAATTATTTTGTTATATTTCAAGATATCATTAATAATGTCACGTTCGACAAGCGATTTAGCGCTCGATTTATCTTCTACAACTTTAACAGAAACATGCACCTCCGAACAAATCAATTCGGCACCTGTACATGACACAAAATATAGTAAAAATGACGATGAATCGGTACGCATAAGTCAACTATAGTCATAACTTCGATAAAGATTGATTTGAACTGTTTAGACAACACCATTGCTATCTACTCCAAACACAAATGAACCAAAAACCACGTAAATCGTTCTTTCGCGGTTTCTTTCCCTGAATCGTTCGATTTTATTGTTAGTAATTCAGAAACCTTGATGCATATCATCAATTGTAGCTTTGGTGTTGGTATTCTAGCACTTCCATATGCATTATCAAAAGCTGGATTATTAGTAAGAACATTGAAATGACTCAAGCTGATCGTCAGTAGGAAATTCTTTGATTTGATTTAGTTCGGTTCCATTGCATTTTGGATCGTTAGCATCCTATTACTTTATTGTATGCATCAACTCCTTCGATGTTGTCGTTATTATCGACAATAGTAAGTACGAAAATGCTATTCGAAGATATGAAGTATTGAATTCCTACTTGGGAACAGTTCGCTTTTTTGGCTGCGTTGTAAATCTTATCTGAAGTGATGTTTTTTTCTCATCTAGTTCAACGCACGGTGAATGTGACTATGGTGACATAATGCAATATACATTAGAAAAATGTCAGTGGTCATTTATGAATCGTAATGCTATGATAGGAAGGTAGGTGGATATAAACTTTTTATCGACTCGCATGTTTTCATTTGAATAGATCAATCATTGACATTTGTATTATTGTAATGAAATTTGGAAGTTGTTCAATTTATTTCGTACTGATTTCTGCCAATATTAAACAAGTATATATGTTGTAGATTAGAGTTCGTTTTCTAATAACAATGATAGAGATTAGATTAATATTAGTTTCTATTGTATTATTATGAGTAGATTTACTTTTCTGCGCATAGATTTTGTTGACACTTTTGATCGTGTCATGTATCTATTGTATAGTATGAAGAAGCATTTGAAATTTTGAAGAATATAAATAGAAAATACAGCAGATAAGTTTATGTTTCTGCTTAGGTCATGGATTATTATCTCTGGTTTCATCCATCTATTCAATTATATGAAGTTTTCGTACTTCTGATTGTTGTCTCGTTTTCGTTTCTTCGAAATCTTAAACTTCTTGCACCTCTTTCATACATCGGAAATCTGGTGACAATGGCAGGTAAGAATGTGTGCATCAATCTATCGAAATTATTTATCTGTTTACACGATGAGGTTTAATAATTATTTTACAATATGTGATTCGTGATCATGTTCCATTCGATAAATTACCCTTGGTAACACCAACGACAGACTGGCCAATGTTTTTTGCAGATGTGATGCTTATTTTTTCCGTGTCTTGTGTGGTATGTGTTGAAAATGAAATATAATTCAACTTAGGAATAGTGTAATTCTATCGCGATGTTATCTTTGAAATAATAGTTGTTTCGTGTACTTAATCTTGTTCACATTTGGGAAACTATTTCTAAGAATATTTGTTCAGATTTTACCGGTTCGAGCTGAAATGTAAGAGCCATATGCATTCGATGGTTGGTTTGGAATATTGAATATTGGCATAGTTATCGTCACGGCTCTACATTTTCTCATTGGATTCTTTGGTTATATTCGGTATGGATCTGAAATTCGTGGTTCAATCACGTTAAATCTACCTCAAGATAACAAGTAAGGAAATAATCTATTTTTCATTAAAAGTTGCATTGTTTTGTACAATTGATAGACTATATCAGTTTGTTAATGTTCTTTATGCATTATCAATACTTTTAACATACAATTTACAAATGCATATTCCATTTACACTTCTTTGGCAGCGTATTTCGGTGAAATTCGACTCAAAATATAGTACGAATATGATGAATGTATAGAAAGACTTTTTCGAATCTTAACGATTTTTATTACATGTAAGTGAAAATTTCTCGTATTCTGAAGTCAATTATAGATTTGGTATTGGTCGTATATGACCATTATATCCTCAAAAATTCCTTTCCAGAACAAGGAAAAAGAGAACCTGCAAATTATCTTGTTTGTTTGTTTTTTTTTTGTAGTTTTTGTTGCTATGTTAGTTCCTCATATTGGTCATGTTGTTGCATTTGGTATGAAATTCATAGCCAATGTTATTCTTCTCTTTTACTTATTGTATAATTTTAGTCGGTGCGGTATCATCTTCGTTATTGACGGTTCTTTTTCCTCCAATATGTGAGACACTAACATTTTGGCCAAACGATCTCGGTCGATTCAAGTGGCAATTTATTCTGAATATCTTCATCATTAGTTTTGGTCTCTATGTTTTTCTATTCGGAACAGCTCTTAGCTTGTCTGGTATATTTATATGTATTCGTCATAGCAACAAATGTGATGATTAAATAAGAATTCCATACTTGTACACTATTTCCATCGGAGATTAGAGAACAATGTTTAAAAGAAAAAAAATGAAGACATGCATAGCAAAACAAAACCATTGAAACACTCTCTATATTTTATTCCAAAGAACTTTTTCAAATTAAGTATGAAAAAAATTTAATATACGTTCTCCATTCTCACGTATTCATTTATAAGTGCAGCTATCGCACATATAACGATTGCACTCGTCACACTTGTAATTGAAAAGAATAGAATGGCAAAGCTCACAACAAGTTACATACGCGGGGGCATCGATCAATAGAGTACATCCACGTTCAAATCATCAACCAGTTATAGGTAATGCACCAACAGGAAACAGTGCAGAATAATCCTACTGTTTGATTATGTTTAACATTTTGACTTAATCTTTGCTGATGCGATATCACAATAAATTGGTGTGGAGCAAGAATTTCTTGTAATTGAATCATTTTCGTACCATTATCAGAGTGCTATTTGTTTTAACAATGAGCATCATGTGACGTATTATAGTGAAAGCAAAAGGGATAAGAACAAACAAGAAATCTCATCGAGCTTTTTCTCTTTTCCAACAAGTGAACACGATATGCAGTCAAATGTACTCAGATTCATCGTTTATATCCACATAGACAATCTGATTTGCGTATATCTTTTCAAAATCTAATATTCTATTTATCAGAATTACATCAAAATCGATCATAATTATTTTCTTTCGTCGAAAAGATTTTATCAAGCTTAATCAATCGATAGTCTTCCGTCGATGATTAGACCTATTGTGTCAATTGAAAAGAAAACGACCTTTTATTTTTTCATGAATGAATTGATAATTATACACATTTTCTATTTGATCTGTCAGTACACAAAAGAAAAAGTTTTTTACAAAAACAACTGACTCCACACATGCAGCTAATTAAATCTCGAGGAACTATTTTTGTCATTAGATTCAATCACCAATACACAATTGATTATAACATAAATATCATTCAAATCCCTGCGTACATGTGAACAAGTACGATGAATTAATTCGTTTTCCATTATAATGGTTTCCCGTTCTCTTATAGTTCTAGGTGTAGATGTCAATGGCAAATGCATCTTTTAATATAGAACGGAAATTAGTGTCAGAAAGTATTAATACCCTATTGATGATAATAAATAGAACGTTCATTTAATCAAGATTCATCTGTCAAAATCAATCAGCTCCTACTTCTCCTGAGATTTTTGTTTAAATACAAAATTTTATCCATGGATGCGTGTATCTAATGAAAAGAGGATCTTTCAAAAAAAAAGTGATGATCTACGAATAAATGAATAGAATCTTTATTAACAAATAGACGGAAGTCCGTTTTGCTTTCTCTTTTTTGTGTTTTTGAGGGAGGAGACGAAATCGAAGAGGAGTCGATTCTTTGTTCCCTCTACAAAAAAAAAGAAGAAGAGAAGAGAGAAAGAAGAAAAATATATGAAAAGACATGCTATCATTATTAATTTGTTCTTCGATTCATATCGTTCCTTTTTTTCCATCTTGAACATTGACGATGATAACCAATATAAATGCTCTCATCCTTTTTACACTACTGGTCAACCTCATCTTTATTCATGGTACGTCCGTTTACATCAAATTATACTTGTTGTTAATATGAAACACAAAATCTAGGAGTTCATTGAACATTTCTGTTTTTACTACAGGTCAACATGTTTCCAATGCGCAATGTGATGAAACATTGGTAAACACGCATATGCTTGAATGCTATAAAAAACATATTGACAACAAAATCGATACAAGCTCGATTGAAAATGCGTATTATATGGATGGATCGAATCTTTGCCAGTGAGTTAACTCGAATATTATTCGGAGAAACTTAATCTGTTTCGATTGATTGTAGAGCGTTTAATCAAAGTTCATCGTATCGTAAATGTTTATATTCAATCTTTGGTCGAAATGAAATCTGTTCATACGAACGATATCAATATTCATATCACTATTTCAAAACCTACTGGAAATTAGTTCTGGCTTCATGTATTGTAGAAAACAGTAGGTCATACTTTTTACTCTCAGTGAGAGTTTCTTTTCTTTTTTTATTTCCGGAATGTTTAGATGAACATTGTTCGCCTTCGCATTTGAGTGAAAAAATCATCAACAAATGTCACTATTCATTTGATGATAAATTTCCAACAAAATGCAAGTAAGTTTGATTGAAATATACGAAGCTTTTCCTTCAAAATCGATTTTTGATTTCAAGAGAATTTGTACGTTCTGTGAAATGTTTGGAAAGACATGAACATGATTTAATTCCATCAACCTTTGGATCAGCATNAGATGAACATTGTTCGCCTTCGCATTTGAGTGAAAAAATCATCAACAAATGTCACTATTCATTTGATGATAAATTTCCAACAAAATGCAAGTAAGTTTGATTGAAATATACGAAGCTTTTCCTTCAAAATCGATTTTTGATTTCAAGAGAATTTGTACGTTCTGTGAAATGTTTGGAAAGACATGAACATGATTTAATTCCATCAACCTTTGGATCAGCATGTTCAAGAAGTCAAGGCTATTATTATTTTTATGGGGATCTGGCCGCTCGTCTTCAATTATCAATTAATATTTGCGAACAAAAATGATGTCTTTTGTTTAATATCCAAATAAAAATGATCTTCTCGATATTTTTCCATAGAATTTGTAAACATCGACGAGAGTATTTTCACCTGTAATATCAACAATCAATACCGTTGATGTTGGTTTATTCGGAAATAAAATAAAAAGAAGAATTATAGACATGGACGGAACCGATAGTTCGCATATAATTATCCTACACAAATCAAGATAAAGAAACTAGTATTATTTTCTCGAAAGAGAACATCCTGAAACGAATTTGCATCATATCAGCCTGATCGCCTTCATTTCAACCGTAAATATGATTGATTTTTAACTGAAATCGAGATCTTGCATTGTACAATATCTTCTCATCTTTCACAGCGTATGCATTATAGTCACACTCTCGCTTTTCAATGATTGTAGATGTCACTTACTTATGGTTGAACAGTATTCAGTAAGAGAAAAAGTTGTTTTCAAACAACAGTATATTAATCAATAAAAAAAATAGAATAAAATTTAATGTTTATAGTCAAAAAAAAAATTGTGATTGCTTTTTCAACATCCAATGCGAAAATCATGTATGAAGAACCAACTCAGCTGTTTCATTCTTTTTCTTTTTCCTATTCACGTGAATGTATTTGTGAACGATTTCTGGCATCTTTTCAGTAAGTTAAAAAGAAAAATGCATATAAACCATTGTTTAAGATGTTAAATTGAATTAGAATGGAAAATGTTGAAGATATTGAAAATCTTCTCTCCCTTCATTGGCCACATATCTTTTCTTCTATTGATCCTTCAACACCTATCACTCTTACCAAACTATCTCGATACAATTGGCTCATCAAATGTTCCGAACATCTCTCCTATGTACTTAAATCATCACAAACAAATAATTTAGATCTTGAATTGAAATATCTCACTGATCTAAATCGTTATTTTAATAATGAATATCGTGTTCCTCTTCCTCTTCTCACAATTAAAAATGAAAGACATGTTAATGGTAAATATTGGTTATATGAATATATTCATGGTAAAGTTTATAATGATTGTGATTGTGCACATCTATTCGATGAAAAACAACTGATCTTATTAGCTAAACTTATCTCAAAATATCATCAATTTCTTATTACTAATTCGTCAACATTATCAACAAATAAGAAATCAACAACTCGTGAACATCTTCTCAAAGAATTCAAACAATCCATCGTAGGTTGCCCTTGATGATGATGTGAATCGATGATGTTGTTGTTTATTTAGGATGTGATTAATGAATGTCGAAAAGAAAGAATCGATTTAGTCAATGAATATTATCTTGGATGTTATCCGTTATTGACGCGATTGCTGGAAGAATCACTTTCGAAACAAGAAAAGAGTCATTCGAATCGTAATTATCTTATTCATCGCAATCTTCGTCCATCGAAGATCATCTGGTCATCGAATAATGAAAATGATCAGATCGTTGGCATCATTGACTTTGAAAATCTGAATTATGACACATTATGGCGAGATCTTGCTGTTTGTTTATCAACATTTTGTACATCATCATCACCATCGATTATCACTGATGTTGATCGAATGAGAATATTCATTAGTGAATATATGAAACAAATCTCAGGTGGTGTTGCAAAAGTTTCATCACAAACTGAACAAGAAGTATTTCATTTAATCGTTGATGAGATTATTTTATGTGCTTGTGAAGATTTTACATTTATTTATTGGCAATATCAACATCAAAATGAACTATTTCAAGGTATCAAAGCATTAGAGTTTTACTATAAACGAGCACTGTGGCATACTGAACATGCTTTGAAGAAATAAAACATTGCTTTTTGCTGCTGGATGTATTATTTTGTTTTTCTTATAAAAATTTCGCCTATGAAAATGAAATTATATTTGAAAAAATCGATGGATTAGAGAGATGTTCCGTTGAAGTGCAAATTTCAATTGGAAGGATAACTTTTTACTGACGCTATGCTTCAGATCAGACACTGTTGATAAAATAGTAGTATCGGTTGTTATACAGTCGCAACTATTATAACGATAGATAATCTAAATAGTCGGTCTCCATCTAAGTCATAGTTTGATGAAACATCAAACAAATACTTGAGTATTCTTTCTTCATGGCTCAGAATCTCAACCAATAATTAGAAGGTATTGTCTGGACCAATAAACATGACTTTACGCGATTTACTGATTCAAATTCTTTTCTATATGTTCGACAAAATGGACTCAACCATCGGCTCGATCAATTATTATTTGATGATGATGTGGAATAACCCTATGTCTGTATCTGTAATGAATAATATAATAGTTGGTAAAGTTTCTGAGAAGATGCCTCCCCATATAAAAAATACGATTATCAAACTTATTGTTGAATCAAATGCAATTGAACATGTCCTAAATAGCACTAATCATCCAAAAATTTCCTTATTGTCATTGATGAATCTCTGAAGTCAAGCACTTTTGCAACTACTCACAGAGGTATAACGTTCACGTATTTGGGTAAGATAAATATCGAAGAATCTTTTAGAAAAATGACACTCTTATTCGGTTAATCATGTAACAAATTATACATTTATATATTGATGACAGAAGGAATAAAACAACAAATAATAATGATTATCCACTTTCATAGGATATTTAGATCGGCTTTTAACTTTCATTTTTTCTGCACATTTCCGAAAAACGCTTCTCCTTGTTAGTCGAGAAAGCAAAAGTTTATAGGCATCGAAATACCTCTGTGCTGTATTTTATGTGAAAAAGAAAAAGTTTATACTGATAGAGAAAAACGGTCTCCCAAAACTCAGAACAAAAATTGTTTGATCGGGTTTTATTCCGACTATATGTGTGACTAGAGACGTTTTTATTTGAGCAAATACAATACAGCGACAAATGTAAACCTTTGGATAAAATTCATCAAAATGATCAGTTCACAGAACGACGAGTTTCAATGCGATCAAAAATATACAAATTACTGCAGCTGGAATAATGTCAAGCATGCGTGCAACCAACAGTCCAAACATGGATCCAACCAATAGGCTGAACGTATGGAGTTGATGTGTATTTCTGTTACGATCACAACCTATTAAAAGACACAGACAACATCTTTTTCATCTACTGAATTTCGCTCCTTACTGGGTTCAGTTGCAAGTCCATGATCAGTTCCTTGTGCATGTTGCTGTTGTAAATCACCCGTATTTACGATTGCGTTTAAACGATGATTCTAAAAGGATGAAATCACGCTTGCTTGATGACTTCATTCTTTACGTACAAACGAACGCGTGTTCTCGTTCAAACGTTTATTTTATTGCTCCCAAACTCTTCTTCTAATCGATTCAAAGCCATTTTATCTTTACTAGTGCGATAATAATTAGTTCTTCGTCTGAGTCAAAGTTTGATGAAACATCAAATAAATGCTTGAGAATTTTTTTGAATCTATCAGCTAAAAGTTCGATTGTTTTCTGTTCAAACAGTTTCTCGGCATAATCAAAATAGAAGTCGATACTTTTGTTTTCCAAATTACATCGAACAACTAATGTTAAATCAATGGGAGTGAGTTTTGTATTGCGTGGAAATTGTTTATGATTCGTCAAAGATACTTGATTCAAAACTAAATTCTGATCAACATCAAGAATCCATTTATCTTCATCGATATCAACACGAAGTGCAACTTGTGAAAAGGGCTGTTGAGGTGAACCACATTTTCTTGCAAATGCAATCAGATGTTGATATGGGTAAGCGGCGTTTTCTTTGATATTCGTACACAGTTCATCGATTTTCGCAACAAATTCATTGAAAGATTGATGTGGATCAATAAAATGTCGATAAACAACATAGTTTTCAAATGGACCAATGACGGAAGTTAGTTCTTTCTTTGGACGATTTGGTGTGACACCCACAACACAGAAATCTTTATCTTGAGTGAGTTTGAACAGGTAACAGTAGAACACAGATAGAAATAAACGAAAGAAGTTGATGTTCTTCTTCTGTTTGTAACGAAAGATTTGTCGTGTCAATGATGGATCAATGTCAAATGCATAGTATGATCCAGATGAGATCAAAATCATTTTGTTGTCATATGGAAGATTGATTCGCAAGTGAAAGTCATAATCATGAAAGAAGTCCTCCCAAAACGCTTCAGCTTTACTCAAGTCTGATTGACGTTCATAATGAGCAAAGTCGATAAATCTCAATTGATTTTCATCTATTGTCGACTTTTCATTTGCATATTCTTGCGTTAGTTGTTTCACATTCTTTTTGATTTTGTTTCCAAAGGTGATAACGAAAGATATGTCCTTTATTCAAATTGAAGTATTTTGTTATTTGTTCTTGGTGAATGATCTTGTTAATTTTGTCATTTGTAACATCGATGGTAGTAATCTCAAATGAAGAGATCTGTTTGTTGAGTGCAATGTGCATCGGAAGAAGCCTAGTTTGTCACCGAAGATTTCTTTTTTTTCTGAGAGCATTCATTAATATGAGACTGGTACGATGAGGGCCTAATTGTGCATTGAAACTATTCTTTATTGATATTGTATAGATTGCTTTCTTGAAAAACGTTCCTTTTTGTTGTGAATGGGAAAAGGTCTGATCAGTTTACTGATAGAGATAGGAAGATCGTTTGATTCGCTATCTTCTCGCGATACCTAGATTAGCTTTTTATTTAAATTTTTTTTGTCTATATTTGGAGAACATTCAAGTAGGCTTCGCACATATCTTTTAGAAAAACATTTCACCTTGACAGAGGAGAAAGCACAAACTTATAGACATTGAAATCCTTCCATGCCATATTTTATGTTAAAAAGAATAAGTCTATTTTTTATAGAGAAATATGGTCTGTCAAATACTTTTCTTGATTAGAACGAAAATACTTGAACCGACTTTTATTTTGACACTGTGCATGACTAGAGATTTCTTATTTTGAGCAAAGATGATAGAATGAGAAACAGAAAATCTTTTTGACGAAGCTAATGAAAATGACGAGTTCAAAGAACAAGTTTAAATACGATCAAGAGTATGAAGATCATTGCAGCTGGAACTGTCCCAAGCATAGATGCAACCAGCACTCCAAACATTGATGCAATCAATAGACTTAATGTTGGCGATTGATATGTATTATTAATTTGATCACCACCTGTTAAATGGCATAAACAACAAACTTTTCCTCTACTGGTTTTCGTTTCTTACCAGGTCCGTGTGCATGTTGTTGCTGTAAGCCATCCGTATTGACAATTGTGTTTAAACGATGATTCTAGAAGAATAAAATCACGCTTGGTTGATGAGAGTATTATACACATACTACATAATCATTTACACGAAACAGTATATAGGTGTATGTATCTACAGCCCTACGAATTAATACCACACGTACGATCTTGGTGGAAACATCGATCCAAATGTCAACTTTTGCTTTGTCAGAACGTTTCAACTACGCGGAAAATTGTCAACGTAAGAAAATTATCGAAAACATAATGAAATACGGCTTTTCCGTACAATTCAGTTAACCGACATAATTCCGAAGTAATTCCGGACCAAAAGCTGTATTCTAAAAGATTTTCTCTGTTTAGCTTATATGACTTTCGTGCAATATCACCAAAGAAAACAGATCTCACAGAAAATCTACTGGTAGTAAATCAAATCAACAAATGCGATGCATTCTTAACGGTTTCACTGTACAGAAAGTCTTTTCTGCAAATCATCGGCAGAAAGGTTATTTTTTATCAGTTGACTCAAAATAAACCCATTTTCATCAATTATTCCAGCAAGTACCGAGAAAAAATCAAGGATTTACTCAATATCATACTCAGCCACAAATCGGTCGATGAATGAATGGCCAACGATCAGTACTGATTCGATATCTCTTGGCACTGATTCTTTTACATAATTGAACCATGGATGAGATCCTTTAGTGTTTAGTATGACTATTCTTCGAAAAGGCCGAGATTGACATCGCTTCAAAGAGTCATTTACATGCAAAACTCTTAAATTCCTCAATAGTTATCACTTACACAAAGTATCTCTTCGACTGGCACCAAACGGCACATCTTGAAATAGTTATATAAAACACGTGAAAACAAGGAGAGCAATTCGAATGTGAATCAATTATTCGTCTCGTCGATTGTATGTCACTTTGACGAGCTTCGACTGACAAAAGAATCATGAGAGAAATATATTTCTCTCTGTGTGTATTTCAGGTCAAAGGTCAGAAAAACATGTTATGTGTCTAGGCTCTTCATGAATATGTATCCGATTACGCATTAACAAAACTTTGAGTCATCTTTCATATTCTACTTTTTGCTTGTTTCGAAAAGAATCAAACGAAAATGTTTACTTACGTGATGCTCGTCATACCTCACTACACTTTCGTTGTCTGTAACAAAACCAATCTAGTCTATGTACGATTAATTTCTTTCGTCATTTCGACACCATCCAAAAATTCTGGATGCGCAAATTACGATGTGCTTGGATGCTTCTAATTCTTCAGCTACACACGACATTGCGGACAACAAATTCCAGACCCGGTCGTTTCTGTTAATTATATAGCACAACATATTAACAGGCTGACTCGACACCAAGATTTGTATTCGTCATATACGAATCAGCTTTTTTCTTTCTTTTCGATTTCTTTACGTACAAACGAGCGCGTGTCCCCGTTCAGCCGTTTATTGCTTCCGAACTCTTTTTCTAATTGATTCAAAGCCATTTTATCTTTACTAGTGCGATAGTAATTCCATACTATAATTCAGTTTATATACGTGTGTATGTTTCTCTCTCTCTCCGTTTCACTCGTTTGTATTTATTCACAAATGCCTAGATGCCATCATCTCGATCTAATATCATATCGTCAAAGACAAAGAACGAAATAAACGATCGTTCAAAATGTAATCAGAGTGAACAAATAGATCAGGGCACGAAACATATCGACTTTTCGATATGTTATATTTCTATTCAAAATCGTTCATATATTCGAAAAGCGACGAAAATGAAGCGTTAATCTCGCCTTGGTGGATTGATGTTATGGATAAGCATTTCTTCATGTGGCAGGATAATCGATAGTTTAAATAATTGTTCTTCGTTTAAGTCGAAGTTTGATGAAACATCAAATAAATGCTTGAGAATTTTTTTGAATCTATCAGCTAAAAGTTCGATTGTTTTCTGTTCAAACAGTTTCTCGGCATAATCAAAATAGAAGTCGATACTTTTGTTTTCTAAATTGCATCGAACAACTAATGTTAGATCAATGGGAGTGAGTTTTGTATTGCGTGGAAATTCCCTGTGATTTGTCAACGGTATTTGATTCAAAACCAAATTCTGATCAACATCAAGAATCCATTTATCATCATCGATATCAACACGAAGTGCAACTTGTGAAAAGGGCTGTTGAGGTGAACCACATTTTCTTGCAAATGCAATCAGATTTTGATATGGGTAAGCGGCGTTTTCCTTGATATTCGTACACAGTTCATCGATTTTCGCAACAAATTCATTGAAAGATTGATGTGGATCAATAACATGTCGATAAACAACATAGTTTTCAAACGGACCAATGACGGAAGTTAGTTCTTTCTTTGGACGATTTGGTGTGACACCGATAACAGAGAAATCTTTATCTTGAGTGAGTTTGAACAGGTAACAGTAGAACACAGATAGAAATAAACGAAAGAAGTTGATGTTCATCTTTTGTTTGTAACGAAAGATTTGTCTTGTCAACGATGCATCAATGTCAAATGCATAGTATGATCCAGATGAAATAAAGATCATTTTGTTGTCATATGGAAGATTGATTCGCAAGTGAAAGTCATAATCATGAAATAAGTCCTCCCAAAACGCTTCAGCTTTACTCAGGTCTGATTGACGCTCATAATGAGCGAAATCGATAAATCTCAATTGATTTTCATCTTTTGTCGACTTTTCATTTGTATATTCTTGCATTAGTTGTTTCACATTCTTTTCGATTTTGTTTCCAAGGGTGATAACGAAAGATATGCCCTTTATTCAAATTGAAGTATTTTGTTATTTGTTCTTGGTGAATGATCTTGTTAATTTTGTCATTTGTAACATCGATGGTAGTAATCTCAAATGAAGAGATCTGTTTGTTGAATGCAATGTGCATCGGAAGAAGCCTAGTTTGTCACCGAAGATTTCTTTTTTTTTCTGAGAACATTCATTAATATGAGACTGGTACGATGAGGGCGTAATTGTGCATTGAAACTATTCTTTATTGATATTGTATAGATTGCTTTCTTGAAAAACGTTCATTTTTGCTGTGAATGGGAAAAAGTCTGATCAGTTTACTGATAGAGATAGGAAGATCGTTTGATTCGCCATCTTCTCGCGATACCTAGATTAGCTTTTTATTTAAAGTTTTTTTTGTCTATATTTGGAGAACATTCAAGTAGGCTTCGCACATATCTTTTTAGAAAAACATTTCACCTCGCCAGAGGAGAAAGCACAAAGGTATAGACATTGAAATCCTTCCATGCCATATTTTATGCTAAAAAGAATAAGTCCTTTTTTTATAGAGAAATATGATCTGTCAAATACTTTTCTTGATTAGAACAAAAATGCTTGAACCGACTTTTATTTTGACACGGTACATGACTAGAGATTTCTTGTTTTGAGCAAAGATGATAGAATGAGAAACAGAAAATCTTTTTGACGAAGCTAATGAAAATGGCGAGTTCAAAGAACAAGTTTAAATACGATTAACAGTATGAAGATCATTGCAGCTGGAACTGTCCCAAGCATAGATGCAACCAGCACTCCAAACATTGATGCAATCAATAGACTTAACGTTGGCGATTGATATGTATTATTAATTTGATCACCACCTGTTAAATGGCATAAACAACAAACTTTTCCTCTACTGGTTTTCGTTTCTTACCAGGTCCGTGTGCATGTTGTTGCTGTAAGCCATCCGTATTGACAATTGTGTTTAAACGATGATTCTAGAAGAATAAAATNTATTATTAATTTGATCACCACCTGTTAAATGGCATAAACAACAAACTTTTCCTCTACTGGTTTTCGTTTCTTACCAGGTCCGTGTGCATGTTGTTGCTGTAAGCCATCCGTATTGACAATTGTGTTTAAACGATGATTCTAGAAGAATAAAATAACGCTTGGTTGATGAGAGTATTATACACATACTACATAATCATTTACACGAAATAGTATATAGGTGTATGTATCTACAGCCCTACGAATTAATACCACACGTACGATCTTCGTGGAAACATCGATCTAAATGTCAACTTTTGCTTTGTCAGAACGTTTCAACTACGCGGAAAATTGTCAACGTAAGAAAATTATCGAAAACATAATGAAATACGACTTTTCCGTACAATTCAGTTAACTGACATAATTCCGAAGTAATTCCGGACCAAAAGCTGTATTCTAAAAGATTTTCTCTGTTTAGCTTATATGACTTTCGTGCAATATCACCAAAGAAAACACATCTCACAGAAAATCTACTCGTAGTAAATCAAATCAACAAATGCGATACATTTTTAACGGTTTCACTGTACAGAAAGTCTTTTCTGCAAATCATCGGCAGAAAGGTTATTTTTAATCGATGAAACTAAATAAACTGATTATTTTTTATCAATTTACTCAAAATAAACCCATTTTCATCAATTATTCCAGCAAGTACCGAGAAAAAAATCAAGGATTTACTCAATATCATACTCAGCCTCAAATCGGTCGATGAATGAATGGCCAACGATCAGTACTGATTCAATATCTCTTGGCACTGATTCTTTTACATAATTGAACCATGGATGAGATCCTTTGGTGCTTAGTATAATTATTCTTGGAAAAGGCCGAGATTGACATCGCTGCAAAGAGTCATTTACATGCAAAACTCTTAAATTCCTCAATACTTATCACTTACGCAAAGTATCTCTTCGACTGGCACCAAACGACACATCTTGAAATAGCTATATCAAACACGTGAAACGAAGGAGAGCAATTCGAATGTCAATCAATTATTCGTCTCGTCAATTATATATCACTTTGACGAGCTTCGACCGACAAAAGAATCATGAGAGAAATATATTTCTCTCTGTGTGTATTTCAGGTCAAAGGTCAGAAAAACATGTTATGTGCCTAGGCTCTTCATGAATATGTATCCGATTACGCATTAACAAAACTTTGAGTCCTCTTTCATATTCTACTTTTTGCTTGTTTCGAAAAGAATCAAACGAAAATGTTTACTTACGTGATGCTCGTCATGCCTCACTACACTTTCGTTGTCTGTAACAAAACCAATCTAGTCTATGTACGATTAATTTCTTTCGTCATTCCGATACCATCCAAAAATTCTGGATGCGCAAATTACAATGTGCTTGGATGCTTCTAATTCTTCAGCTACACACGACATTGCGGACAACAAATTCCAGATCCGGTCGTTTCTGTTAATTATATAGCGCAACATATTAACAGACTGACTCGACACCAAGATTTGTATTCGTCATATACGAATCAGCTTTTTTCTTTCTTTTCGATTTCTTTACGTACAAACGAGCGCGTGTCTTCGTTCAAACGTTTATTGTTTCCAAACTCTTCTTCTAAATCGATTTAAAGCCATTTTATCTTTACTAGTGCGATAGTAATTCCATACTATAATTCAGTTTATCTACGTGTGTATGTTTCTCTCTCTCTCTTCCCGTTTTACTCGTTTGTATTTATTCACAAATGCCTAGATGCCATCATCTCGATCTAATATCATTATATCGTCAAAGACAAAGAACGAAATAAACGATCGTTCAGAATGTAATCAGAGTGAACAAATAGATCAAGGCACGAAACACATCGACTTTTCGATATGTTATATTTCTATTCAAAATCGTTCTATATTCGAAAAAACGACGAAAATGAAGCGTTAATCTCGACTTGGTGGATTGATGTTATGAATAAGCATTTCTTCATGTGGCAGGATAATCGATAGTTTAAATAATTGTTCCTCATCTAAGTCAAAGTTTGATGAAACATCAAATAAATGCTTGAGAATTTTTTTGAATCTATCAGCTAAAAGTTCGATTGTTTTCTGTTCAAACAGTTTCTCAGCATAATCAAAATAGAAGTCGATACTTTTGTTTTCCAAATTACATCGAACAACTAATGTTAAATCAATGGGAGTGAGTTTTGTATTGCGTGGAAATTGTTTATGATTCGTCAAAGATACTTGATTCAAAACTAAATTCTGATCAACATCAAGAATCCATTTATCTTCATCGATATCAACACGAAGTGCAACTTGTGAAAAGGGCTGTTGAGGTGAACCACATTTTCTTGCAAATGCAATCAGATTTTGGTATGGGTAAGCGGCGTTTTCTTTGATATTCGTACACAGTTCATCGATTTTCGCAACAAATTCATTGAAAGATTGATGTGGATCAATAACATGTCGATAAACAACATAGTTTTCAAATGGACCAATGACGGAAGTTAGTTCTTTCTTTGGACGATTTGGTGTGACACCCACAACACAGAAATCTTTATCTTGAGTGAGTTTAAACAGGTAACAGTAGAACACAGATAGAAATAAACGAAAGAAGTTGATGTTCTTCTTCTGTTTGTAACGAAAGATTTGTCGTGTCAATGATGGATCAATGTCAAATGCATAGTATGATCCAGATGAGATCAAAATGATTTTGTTGTCATATGGAAGATTGATTCGCAAGTGAAAGTCATAATCATGAAAGAAGTCCTCCCAAAACGCTTCAGCTTTACTCAGGTCTAACTGACGCTCATAATGAGCAAAGTCGATAAATCTCAATTGATTTTCATCTATTGTCGACTTTTCATTTGTATATTCTTGTGTTAATTGTTTTACAAACAAGTATTTGGAATGATGATCGATAGCTGAGTGATGAAACACCAAAAGAACATAATCGTCTTTTGCGAGCCGATTCTTTTCTTTTTGACTTTGTTTCAAAAGATGATATCGAAATATATGTCCTTTATTCAAATCGAAATGTTTTGAGCTTTGTTCTTGGTAAATGATTTCGTTAATTTTGTCGTGATCTGTAACATCAATGGTGGTAATTTCGAATGAATAGATGTCTTTGTTGAATGGATTGATTTTCTGTTGAGTGCAGTGTTCGTCCAAATCAAAGTCTAGTTCGGTACCAAAGATTTCGTTTTTGCTAAGAACATTTTCAATCGCTTGACGAAAACGATTGATGGATAAGTAACCATCGTTGACTTGATAAGCAAGAACGGAGTTATAATTGAATAGATTTTCATCTTTGCTAGTGTACATCGCACGAATGGACTCATCAAGCCAAATACGTTCTTGGCTGTATGAACTTTTACCTGAAATAAAATCTGTTTTTCTACACCGAATCTTTCTTCTTTGTTGTTTAACAAACCTTTTTTAATTTTCAATCGCTTCCAGTTATCATCGGCCATTTTCGATCAACTGATTTGTATGTCTCAATCGATTTGTGTATTCATGATGTCAAGTCCACTATTTGCAATGATCAACGATCCGTATCGCTGATTAATGAAGTGTAGTAAATACGTTAAATCGAATAGAAAAAGCCTTTTTTTTCTCCTATTGAAAAAAGACGCTGTGGTATAGTTACATTCAAAAAAGATAAGAATATTCTTAGAATGTCTCTATACGACATCTAGACAAACTAGAAATGTTTTTTTTTTGTTTTAACTTATTTCTTTTATATTCATTCAAGTCTACGTACAACAATTTTTTGTGCATTTTCTTTGGTTGAAAAACATTCGTTCTTACCAAACGAAAAAAGAAACATATCGAAATCGAATTTTATTTTTGTCAAATATTTCGCATCAAGTAGAAGAAATTTTACTGTCGTTGCGGAATGCAACCTTTCAAATACCTTGTTTGATCGAGAGAAAAAATACAAGAACTATGATTTCATTTTGCATCGAAGCGTTAAGTAATGAATGGACATGGCAAAAGAACCAATGAGAAATGTATACTTATAGTGCATGGTAACATATTGTCACGTCACGTTCTCTGGTCATATAATATTAGACCTTGATTTTCTTCAAAGAACATTCTTTGTTCGCGTGTATGTGTGTTAACGCTTTATCATATGTGGTCGAATGAAAAGATATGAAACAGTTTGTTCTCGTTTAGCTTTTAGATAAAATGGAAGGCCATAAAAAATCAACAACACAAACAACAAAGTCAAGAAAGATCATTGGCTATGTTCTCTTTTTGTAAGTCATTCATTTAAATTAAACCGAAAATCAGTCAAAACTGAGTACTTCGTAGATTATTTGGTATTGGAACATGGCTGAATTTGAATGGTATATGGATCGAATTACCTTTATTGATTCCTCGATTATCCGAAGGATGGGGATTATCACCACAACTAGGAATGGCAAGCAATATTGCTAATATCGGTCCGGTAATAATTGCATTAATTCGCTACATCATTGGAGAATCATCAGCCTATGAAGTTCCATCGATATGTGTTATATATACTGTTGGTATAACTGTACCCATAATTCTGTCGTTTACATGGTTCAAACAAGTTTATATATTTGGAACAAATCGTTCGTTGTATTTATTAGTTCTTGGGTTTTTCCTTGCATTGGTTAATTGTACATCATCGGTAACTTATCTTCCGTTTGTGAATCGATTTGATCCAAAATGGTTGAATATTTATTTTGGTGGTGAATCTTTATCATCATTATTACCAGCTATTCTTGGTCTCCTACAAGTGAGAAGAACTTTCTATGAATCTCCTTGACAATGCATTTTTTATTCATAGGGTGTTGGAAAATCTGATTGTATTCCATCACCGACTAATCCATTAATTCTTATCGAGAAAACATATCCTCCACGATTTTCGATTGAAGTTTATTTATCTTGTCTCTCCGTTCTGATGTGTTTATCATTTATTGCATTTTTGTTGCTTTGGAAAACTCAACCAAAAAGTAATAAGCCAGTTAAAAATCCAGAGCCCGTAGAAGAAACTCTATTGGACGAAATAATCAAAGTTGAGACTGTCCACACGAATGAAGAAATCAAAATTGAAGTTGTCAATACAAACGACGAGAAATTCACTAAAAAAACAATCGCCTATTTAGTCATTATTCTATGGACGAGTATACTTCTAATCGGATGTATTCCTTCAATCAATTCGTTTTCACTGAATCCATATGGAGCAGCGACATTTCACTATGTGATTATCATTTGTCAATGTTGTTATCCATTGGTATCATTCATATCGACACTATATCCGCAATTGTTCACTGTCACAATGGTTCGAATTATTATTTCAACAATTTTAGGAACATTAGCTTTTATTTATATTATGTTGACAGGTAAAGAATTCTTTCATCGATTATCTTCTGAGATATTCGTTGGTATTTTCGTTTAAAGCATTTCTATCACCGTGTTCACCTTTTGTTGATGAAGATTACGGAAAATACATTGTTGTAAGTTGAAAATAATTTATTCTATCATGTGATTTTAGAAATATCTTCTAGGCAATAATGTGGATATTTGTATATTTGATATTTTATTATGAGCGAATTGCATTGGGAAACTATATGAATAGCACTTCAGGCCACCGAGGTTTATTTTGGTATGGTTTATTGACACAAGCAGGAGCATTCACTGGCGCAGTACTCATTTTTACACTGAATGCTTACGGCATATTTAAAGAACGAAGTTTCTGCGGCACATACCATTGCTCTTAAATCCAAATATTCCTCTTTGCTTAGTCAAATTTGTTCTTTTTCTTAGTTAACAGTATTATTATCCTTTTCTTTTTATCAGCCGGTGAAAATTTTCACGTGATCTTTTTTTTCATTCTTCAAAAACTTAATAAAAGTGAACAGTGTACTCAGGCATCCATTTCAAACAGAAAACAGTTAATTTTTATTTGAAACAACATGAATATTTGTCGATCAATAGAGAAATCAATCGAAAGCTTTATTTACTGTAGTTTTGGTGCAGGTAATGTATGAAACAACACCCTTGTACCAATTTTCATTACTTTTCGTCTACCAACCCGTCGAGTTTAAACGAAAAAAAGTAAAAGAATCACTGAGTAAATTTTTTGAATACAGACATAAGAGGAATTCGCACATTCTTTGAACATTGTCGTGATAATGCTGAAGAACAAATCATTTACAAACGTTCGTAGCTTGTTATTAGGAAATTCAGCTACATATCTGATTCACAAACAATTAGACAGCGGAGTAACTTTATTTGTAAGTTGTATCATTAGTTGAATGTTTCATATAGTAAAGCAAGATAGACAACTTAATGCAACTGAAACAGTATTTCCAATCGGAACACTCGATTAAAGATACCATCAGATGTCACGCACGTTACACAAATTAAGTCAAATGAAGAAGGTGAAAAGCTCGAAATTATCGAAGTTTGTAGTCTCTATGCTTATCGTAAGAGTCGCTGTAAACATTGTTCGTGTGTCAACTTTCGTCACAATCGTCTTGATAATATTTCTTCAAATAGAATTTGATTATGAGATGCTTCTGTTACAGTAAAAAGATACAATATCGTTTCTTGGAGAAGAAACAGCTCGAGTACAGAACGATTGTTTACTTTGAAACGCCAATATAAAAAGAGATGAGAGACATTGTTTGATAGACGACTGACATCTATTCGTGTTAACTTGCAAACAGATTTTCATTGGCTGATTAGGAATTGAATACATGACAATTGAAGTGAATTAATGATGATAATAAAAATAATTTCCAAGAAATGGATTATGATCAACAATGTACGTTTTTCTTTATGAAAATAAAACTTTCTTTGGAATTTATTTATAAATTAGTATTTATTAATCAACTTAGTTCAATAAAATACACCGAAGAAAAACTTGATGAACTCAATTTACCTAGTAAATCTTCTACCGGAACCATCAACGATGAAAATGATCTGGATTTGAAGACAAATATCGTTCAATGTTTGAATGAAGAAGTTCAAAGCGTAAGACCGTTTATTCAATCGAAAAGTGACGATCAAATTGTACCGAAGAGATCCCTCTTTCATTTGATTATTCATGGATCCAAGCAATTTTCTTCCTACAAGTATCAATTTTATCCTGTAAGATTGATCTTCTTTCTAATATTCTTAAATCTTTTGGTCTTTGTCTAGTCTGAAGGATCCTTATTGAACGTTATTCAATGGCAGAAGTTAATTAGTTGGAGTGGGAAAAAAGACTGGAAATTATTGTACAAAGCAAGTCGAGATGGATTTCATTGCAAAGATTTCCATCGTTTATGTGATAATCAAGGAGCGACGATAACTGTGATTCGTACAAAACAAGGATACATTTGTGGATTTTCAAAATGATTCTCGTGCTTTTCTATTTTCATTCTCATCGAATTTGGCCAACAAATATCCGTTGATCGATCGTCATACTAAATATGCTGTTTGGAATAGTCCAAACTATGGTCCGACATTTGGTCACGGTGCTGATCTATTTGTTTGTTCAGAGAGTAATCTCATCGGTGAATCATATTCGAAATTCTCTTCATCATATCGTGATCCAACTGGTTTAGGATGGAAATCTTTAACCGGAAAGCAACAATTTCTTATCGATGACATTGAAATCTACCATTGACAGTTTGTTTTCAAGGTTTTTATTGTTTTAGATATGATTTTAGACGATACTAATTCAACTTCATTGGTTGTTAATCTGGTGATCGTTGGCTTTCATCATAAAAAAGGACATCAAGTAATTTCAATTCACTTTCATCAGTGTTATACAAACCAAATCTTTTTGTTTAGATCGAGTATAGTTATCCATTGGCGAAAGAAAGTTTAGATGAACAATGGTCAAATATTTTATCTTACGCATTACCAGATGGTGCACATAATCGAGAGAAAGATTTGATTTATTTCCATATACCATCGTTAGATAAAGAAACGAATGCTCAACGGACATTATTTGGTATTGCTGCATATAGACAGATTGACGCTAATGTAAGATTGCATATGTCGATGGAGTATGATCATTCGTATGGGTTTTCTTTAGAGTATTGTTAATAAAGAAGCAGATGTAACGAGAAATTCGATTCAAAAAAGTGTCTGTCTTTTGTTAAGACAAGTAAATCTCGATTTGTTTACTTATTCGTTTATAGATTTGTATTTTTTGTTTAGCCATTGTATGGAAACATCAGTGAAGAACTTCAATTGTTAACGGAGAAGTATTTCGAAGAGAAAGATTTTAGTAAAATAAATCTATTCGAAGAATTTGTTCAAAAATTGAATCTCAATCCACTTGTATTTGATATAAAGTATTTTTCCGCGAAAGATTTATTTATTCAATATCGACGAAAGACTTTAATTCTTTTAAAACTTATTTTATTACAAAGAAAAGTTCGTATTTGTTCTTCTCTTCGTTTTCATTGCTCTCTTACATCTTCCTTACAGGTTCTATTTATGCTATCACCAATTGAAAACTTAGTCAAAACCATTCTTACTCTAGTATCATTGATTCCCGGTAAATCTACGAGTGAAAACTAGAATCTTGTAGGAATTCAATGTTAATTGCTTTTGTTGCATAGAATTGATTCCAAATGGTCTAAATGAATGTACATTACTTGGAGAAAAGGAAAATCTTCCGCGATCGATCAGTTTAAACGATACCGAAGATATTGTTTTCGATAAAAATTTCAACCAGCAACTCAATTTCGATCAAGTCAAATTGAAAACCCAAGTGGATGATGATGATGATGAAGTAGAAAGCTCATCAATTAGTACACAAGAAAAAGAAAAGGAAGAAGGAGAACAACAGGAAACGAAATTGAATTTAATGAAACGTGCAACATCATTAACAGCAAAGTTATCTGATACGTTCAATCGATTAACAACGACGACGACTACAAACACGGCGATGACAACAAGTCCATCAACTCTTATTGCAAATTATTCACAAGATTATCTGAACCATTTAGATCAACTTCAATTTCCATTGCAATTGTTCAACAAAGTTTGCTTCATCGGTGTGCTTTTCTCATATCGAATTGTTTGTAAATTTAGAATAATCTTCTTCATCCATATTTACCGTTGAATAATCTCGATCTATTGACAAATCGAAATGTTAATTCGTATGTGATTGGCGCGAGCAATGCATTATTTCGACAACAGGTCACTCATGATATCATTATTGTTGAGAATGATGAGGACTTTCTCATTCAATCATCACAATTGAAATCTGAACTGCAATTGACAACTGCCGATTTGAGATTTTTGCAAATGTTCGAAGAGGAAAATAATGGTATTAAGAGTGAGGAGGAGATTCGACGTTTATTTTTAAATTATCTCTTATCGTTGATGGCTGTTGCGCAAACACCAAGTTTGTTAACCTTTTGCAGTGAAATTGATTTCTTAAATATAATTTGTAGACGATGAAGCAATGAATGACTTCAATTATTCATTTGTTAAATCATTCCAATCGACAGAAGCTTTTCGTTTGTGGCAGTCGAAAGGACCGTATCCATATTTTGATCAAATTATTCCAAGACATCCGCAGGCTGGACAACTCAATGTCGCGGATGTTAAACTGCGTGTTGCTCAGTAAGATTTCATTAGTTACGAAGATTTCAATGTAAAACTTCGCCTTTTTTTCCAAGTGTCTTGGATGATACGGAGACCGGAAGAAAATTGAAAGGAGCGTTTGAAGATACTTCGCATTTTATGGGAGAAAAATCCCGTGCGGCAACGAAAGTTCTTGGTCAAGCAAAAAATTCCATTTTTTCGTCAGTGATTGGAACAATTAACCAAGGAAAACAATGGCTAAATAAACCACCAACGTCATCCGAGTAGAAGAAACTGTGCAATTTCTTGTCTGTCTTCTTTTAATAAATTTTAGTTCTTTAACATCAATGTCATAATGTCTCAAATGAAGAACCATTATACATGCAGATTTTGATAACTAAAAGAAGATAAATTTTCTTGAAATTAAAGTAAAAAATACAAAAAACTGATTACACTTGAATGAGTTTTTCACCAAAGCGAATTATGATACGTGAGCTATTATTTGACTTTTTCGCATGTGTAAGAAAAAAGAACTTATTCGGTCAACAAAATCCAGAAACGAGACGTATCCTCGAACAAAAACAATTCCAAAATGGTTTGTATGAGTTGCGGAGGTACAGATCATGATCGATCTGAATGCAAATTACGAGATGCGCTATGTTTCAAATGTCACAAGAAGGGACATTGCAAAGGTATGTCGATCAAACATCGACAATGTGTTCAGTTTTCGTTTATTTTCCAAATAAATACTTATCCACTTTAAGACGTGACATAAAAAAGATATTAGATAAAATATCAGCTTGAGAAGAAATCAGTGTTCATAAAAATGAGTATGTGAAGATGGCGAGGTGTTAAGCATTATCTAAAACGAAAAAGACATACAATTAGACGCCAGTAATCAAGAAATCTTTACCAAAATAATTGTTGATAATGTCAACAATCGGTCGATATTGAAAGAAAAATAATTGAAGAATACATATGAGATAAGAATAGCCAACCTATCTCACAGATAGCTGAAGTCAATCCAACCGTTGTATTAAATCCATTTATCCCCATGTCGAAAAGTACGGACTGGATCCAGAAGGAGGACATCGGAAATCAACGGAAGTGGCAGCAGGAATCCTTGCAGCGGATTCAGGTCACGGAATCATTCGGTTCCCTCAGGACCTGAAAGGAAACGGGCAAAACCGCTGACAGGATTCGGTTAAATGATTCCTGCTGGAATTACACGGATCCAGGAGCCGGAATCATTGTCCTGGGTCGGTATTGATACATATTTAACCACATTGGACGCCTATCAAAATACTGGGATAATTAGGAGTAGTAAGAAAATAACTTCTTCCTTCTCCTCATACGAGAATAACTTAAAGATCACCTGAAGAATTCGCAATGCCGAGTTTTTGTCATACGGAACTGAAATGCGACCTTTCATATCTTCAGCCATTACTAACGCTTCGATAATATTATATGCAATTAACTGTGCATTTAAACTAAAATAAAGAAAAGGAAATACATAAAGAACGAAGTAGATCACGAAGATATTCACATGCTCTTCAGTTTGATCGAAAATTGCCATCTTTGATCAGAGTTGAAAGTATATCTATGAGCCTTTCCTTTCGATCCCCCTTATGCGATATGGTTCAATAACCACACGTATTTCTTTTACTACATTGTTTTGTCTTAGATGAAAACTAACGATTCTACACGTAAAGAAGATAAACTCACCATGATGACTGATTGGTCGTTATTCGAGAGAAAATCACAACGATTATAACCAATATAAGATGATACGATAACGTCACACAGGTCACGAGAAGAACGAGTGATGTCATAATCCCGTTACACCCGGTATTCATCCAAAAGCACACAATTCACTGCGTTACCATATGCAGCTGAGTCAGTATATCCAACACAATACCCAAATAGAAGTGTATCATGAAAAGCTGAGGAATATGAGTGGATTTGGTGTATCCAGCTCGATACCTAAATAGAAGTGTATCCTGGAAAGCTGAGGAATATGAGTGGATTTGGTGTATCCAACACGATACCCAAATAGAAGTGTATCCTGGAAAGCTGAGAAATATGAGTGAATTTCGGGTATCCAGCGACCACCCTCACCCACACCCACACCCACACCCTCACCCACACCCACACCCTCACCCACACCCACACCCTCACCCACACCCTCACCTTCACTTAAACCCTTACCTTATTTGAGTATCGGGCTGGATACACCAAATCCACTCAGATTCCTCAGCTTTTCAGGATACACTTCTTTTCGGGTATCGAGCTGGATACACCAGATCCACTCAGATTGCTCAAACTTCATGATGGTCGTATTCTTTCTGTAGTATAAAAGTGGTTACCCGCGGATAGAACGGGCTGGTATCGATACCGGTGTTCGTTCGTTGATCAGTATTAGGGTATCGTGACGTTTGGCTGTCGATACCCGGTGTAATGGTATTATGACATCTATGAGAAGAACAACAAAAGTGTATATCGCCAAGTCAGTAATAAGACGAAATGCGCAGAGAATTTTTGAAAGATGTGTATGCAAGACTACAAAACGTAATTCATTTTATACGACGTAATTCGAATTCACTAGCGATGATTTGTTATAGTCATAAGAGATATATCATCGATACGATATCGCATGTAAACAAAGATTCCAGGCACAGTAATACAAGAAAAGATAGATATTTCACGATCACTCGTAAAATAATCTTTTCTTCTTTATCTATTTTTGGTTTACCACATATCGTCGTGCTGATATACCTCTGTGCCTTGATTTCAATGTTTTTATTTCATTGTTTGACTGGCAAAATCAAGTCTTGGATCAATGGGATCTCTTGCCACGTTATGACACACGATGAACAGAGTAAAGATATCTGCTAGATTGTAAACACAATCTTTTTTCTCGTTCGAGTATTCCAACGTTAATCGCTTTACAAACAAGTATTTGAAATGAGAATCAATATCCGGATGATGAAAGACCAAAAGAACATAGATATACTTCGCTAAACTCATTTCCCTTTTGTTTTAATAAATGACAACGAATTCATCAGCTCTTATTGCAAATTATTCAAATCAATAAGATTTGTTTGACTACTAGTTAGTTTTGTTAAAATCATGCTCTATTTGAGAGTACGTCGCCGTCTTAAGATTCAATTGTACACACAGTCGGAACTAGCGATTGCAAGATAGATCTTTTGATGCATGGTTTTAAAAGTCATGATGGAGACATTGGAATGCAAAGAGAAACAATCCGAAAGCATTGTTTTGTCAGTTAAATCATAGGAAAACGTACTGTTCGCATTTCATCGTGATTTAGATATCGCGCTCAAGGTTTAATTACCGGTACAATGGTGTTAATATAGAAACTCATTTCTTTTTTGAAGACAAAATGATCAAATTTTTAGACGACTGTTACTTATTAAGCTCCGAACAATACAACAAATAAAGCAATACATTTGTCTTGTATGGTTGATGTCGGTTGGTTAAAACACATCTGAAGAGAAGAACACATATACGAATAGAAACATGAATGAAAAGTCTTACTCGATTAATTTGATTAACCAATTGTTCTGTTCTCAATGGTAATGCATCCACTGTGTATAAGTATTGACCACGTATTTTTTGGTCTCTTTCTTCTTGAATTTCCCATTCTGGTCGTTTTCGTATTCCTAAATCAACATTTTATTCGAAGGGCCATGCGGTCAATGAACTTTACCTGTCCATCGAAGAAATTTGTTGACGGAATATGACAGTACCTCGGAATCTTCCGTGACTTTTTCTCTTGCTACACGAAAATTATCATTGATGATTGATAAAAACATACTTAAGCAAATAAAAACAACCACAAGAGTAAATAAAGTTAAGTTGGATGGCCCAAGAAATGTTCCTGCTCGAGATAGTTCATTTGAATCAAATTTAAACGACATTGTTTCGAATGACATTTGGGATGTGCTGAATAAAGTTGAACAGAATTGTAATTTCGAAAGAAATGAAATGAAGATTATTGAAAACATCAATGAAAATGAAAGAAATTCTTCTGTTAATAAACGAAGAGTTTTACTAAATAAAGATATACGATGATTAAACCGACAAATGAAGAAATTTAATCATGCCAAAAAAACAACAGAAGCCATAAAAATAGGTCAGAAGATCATTGAGATAAATAGATTCTTCTAAATCGATATACACATCACCTTGACTTTCATGAAATAACTTGCCAATCTATTTTCCGGTTTTGTATCGAATAAAATAAATTCCAATTGATGAAATCGAACCGATGATTAGACCGAGATTGATCATTGACCAAAATTCAATGAAATATTTCTATTTTAACTTGAGAATTGATTGAATTTCATTCAAAAGCATATAAAGAACCAAAAATAAATAAGCCATATTGTTCAAATCATTTGAGAAAGTGATGTAAAAGCTACAAAAGAGAATATTACATTTATCTTTCTAAGAGAAGAAATTACCATAGAAATGAATTGGTTCAAATCGAGATTGACAATGAATGTTTCCAGTTGAATAAAATTCTGTTCGAGTAGTGACGAAAGTAAATAAATCAGCATTTGGATTGTAAAATGACATTTGGATTTGAATTTCACGTGTTTGTTGATCAGTCCACCCTAATCGATGAAGTTCAGAAAGATTCGTTCGAAGATCTTGCAATGAACCACGAAATTCATAAACATATCCGCGACCTTTTGATTTGTATTGAAATGATTGAGATATCAATGAAGAGAAGAAGAATGTGGAATGTTCAAAGCATTCAGGAGAAAATGAACGTTTTTCTTTATTTGACTAACTGAAATTATTTCGACAAATTGAGCTTAGTTTGATCCGTTTTGGACACAATTGAGTTCGAATTCTTGATTGTTTCATCAACGTCCAGCCGAGTAGTCGATTTGAAGTGTCATTGAGATATCCGCGAAGATATTCAACATTCTTTTCATTGTACCATTTATGTGCACGAATCTTTCCCACAAAATCTTCTTCTAACCATTCCCCATATTCATTGATTGATGAAACTTTCACTCGGAATGATTTTTGAAGGTGTTGAACTTGAAACGAGGCGTTTTCATTTGGAGTTAATCGATTGGTACGAGTGGGTAAGAACGTGTGAATCGGTGAATGAAGATGTTCTTCGTCTTTGTTCAACACAAATTGATTTTCATCGAAATATTCTTTTGCTTCTTCATCTTCATTCGGTGGTTTTTGACAAAAAAATGCGAAAATTATTCCCAAAGATAAAATCTATTAGAGAGAGAGAAACACATTTGAGATAAAGTGAAAGAGACCTATTACCTTTATTGGTTCAGTGAGAAGAATCGATGAAAAGAATGACCAAAGAACTGAAATGAACCATTGTTGACTTTTTACATCACCAAATTCAATTTCACGTGCGATGATATATCGAAACGAGAAATAACAGAAGAGAAATTCCATAAGCAACAAATAAACACCACCAAGGAAATGTCAATGGACGTTTCTTCTTCTTCTCTTCACAGATTGGTTTTATTCGATGATGACGAGATCGAAGACGACTAAACAATTGAATCAACAAAATACTTGGAATCAACGATATTAATTCACTGATTACACCAATCAGAATTTGATCTGATGTGATGGAGAATGTTCCAAAGGAAATACTCTTCGAATTCTTGACTTTCGCTTCATTTGAGAGATCATAGTACATAATATTCGTTAACATGGAGACGAAAAGTAAAATAAAACAGCAGGTACATCGTTGAACGCGTGAAAATTGATTTGATGGTGAACGAGCAAAGATTGGATACCATAAATGATCATCTGATAAACTACGAAAAGCCTTCTTCGATAAAACATACGAAAATTCTATTCTAGAAAATACAACTCACCTTTCTTTCCTTACTCTTCTTAGTGTTCAAATTCCACTTGGCGATCGACCGTAAAAATGAAACTACTCAACAAAATTTCACCTTGTCAATTAGTCGTTTTTTCGAGTGGAAGTCGTTGGAACTCCACGACAGGAAGATCCAGTAGAATGCAATCTACGTCTATTGACAGGTATCAAGCAAGCACGAACAGCAGTGTTCAGATCTCTCGGAAAGTAAATTTCCGCAATTTCTCGAACTAAAAACAAACAGCAGCAATGATTCGCAACCAAATCTCAACAGAAAAACAGGCAACTACTTCGTTGCATCCGAAAATTCAAAAATTACTGGCAATATTCTGTTACATAAATGATTTATCATAACTACACACGGGTAGATTAGCAGGAGAAATTATGGAAATTTCGGAAATTACTACCATATACCCTCACCGTCATCCTCACCTTCACCCTAGATGGCTATTGACCCGCAGACATCTATCCAACAAGCAAACCACCTTAAACCAAAAAATTTCAGATAAATTAATTATTATTATTGTATTTGTTAATTCATGGCGAATTGGTCTAGTCATAGGAGGGAAACAGAAGAAGAGAAGGAATTGACCAAGAATTAAACAAGCAATATCGTTGGTACATTATCGATGCATTTTAGCTTGAATAAATTTTTTCAGACGATTTGGAGCATAATGCGGTAACCGCGTTGCTTCATTATCACCTTTTATGTTAGTTTTTTTTAGATGTGTTTGACCTTTCACCTTCCCTTCAAAACAATACGTCGTTTGCTTTCCTTTCTATATAGGCGATCATTATATGTGAAAAAAGATGCATATATGTTCAGCGAGTTAGATAAGAATAATATAATTATGAATGATTTCAACATACTCGATTTGCCTGATGAAATTTTATTGATGATTTTTAATAAACTCAACACCATTGATGTCTTTCGTTCAGTACAATACGTCAATCGAAGATTTTATGAATTGTCACTCGATGGTTGTCAAGTTCAAGATATGCAAATGACTACTATGATGGGCGTCGATACACATTATAAACAAATTTCTCCAATCGATACCAATCTTCCAAGAATTTGTGGGAATATTTTACCTAAAATTCATGATAAAGTACAGAAACTTACAGTTGATCAAAGTTCAATGATTCCTGTTCTTCATGCTGCTGATTATCCACAACTTTATTCATTGACAATTATCGATATTGAAGAAGAATTTCTTCATGATTGTTTATCAAGTATAGTATTTCTTTTCTATTATTAATCATCGGCAAAATAATTAATTTTTTTTACAGATAATATCGTTCTTCGCGATCTTCTCATTAAACAAATAACTAATCTTAACATCGATATTAAATGTAGGACGCCACTTGCGATAACTGGATTCCAAATATTTGAACTAATC